CCACTGATCAATGTCTGGGAAGACATGCTGGGCCGAAGGCACTCCTTCCCTTTGGGCCAGGTTCTGCAGCTGGTTCATGGTTGCTCCAAGCAGAAGGAGATTCCGTTGGTTCACCAAACGAAGAACCCCTGGCTGACGCCAGGCTTGTATGCAGAATGTTTCGGGTCCACTCCACTGTGCTTGGAGCGCATCCATTGCACAAAAGGGGCAAAAATCCGGCTTGATGCATCGCTGGGGACCACTCACTCAAAATGGGTTAGTTTCGCAGACGGCTATATGTGCATATTCTGCAATAAACAGGTGTGGGTCAAACCTGTGGGTGTGGAACATGGTTTCTGGACCCTGTTCCTGACCTTATACTAAAGGTTCGAATAAGGGTACCAACTTTTTTCTGTAGTCTACTTTAGTAGGGGAACCCTCCCCCAAACAAGCTGGTGAGAAGGGCACCTAGCTGGGAGAGTTATAAGTTGGCTCGCAGCATCTCGCAGCCACATGAAACTAGGCCACCGACATGGCGACGCACGCTGCTTGGCCGCCGACGACAACTGCAACCCTTGGCAACAAGAGCAACAACAAACCAAGAACAACATGAACAACCAACAACCAGTTGGGTGCGTCTTGCTTTGATGGTACCCAGTTTTGGTTGGTTTAAAAGGGCCAAAAGGAAGCCAACCATTTTTGGAGGGTCCGCTAAACACACCCATTTATGCCATTTGCAGCTACAACGTGGATGAACATAGCCAAAGTCACGTTGCAAGATTCGCGCACTTCCACAGAACTCCCATTCCCAAGGTTCTCCCAGCATACAGGCAGACATTTATGGGGGTCCCAGAGACATGGTTGTCAGAATTTACAAAAACTAAATACGCTTGATGCCAAAGTAGTTGATTACCAAAGTTAGTGTACCAGTGCAAAGGTGGTATCACAAAAATATCACCCGTGACAACCCTACTTTCCACAAACATGCACAGCAAAGCCTACGAATATTCGCTGATACGCATCGTCTCTCTCTCTCTCTCTCTCGCTCTCTCTCGCGGTCGTTCGCCTGGTCTGCATCTCCGACTCCTGGCTGAAAGGACGAGGTTCGCAGCATTTCATCCGACCCTGGGGGAGTCTATCCGGGGCCCATTGTCTTATGACACCTCAAGACCGGTTGCACTCATGCAGGGGGTTTGTTTTGGGCTTCGGCCAAGGCCAAGGAACCGAAAAGCCTGAGGAAAACCGGATGCCCAAAGATTAGCCTCACGTGTGATAACTTGTGGGCGAAATGGAAACCCAACCACTAAAACAAGCGCAAAAATCACCAAGCACCTTAAGGAACCGGATAAAGGTAAAGTATCATCCTGCAAACGACACTAGCAACAGCCAGGTCTTGGAGCGTGAAAAGACGCCATCGATCACTTGGTGGTTTCCTTTTGGCCGGCTTACTTTTTAAACCATAAACAACCATAACAACTTGTGGGGTCCATGTCCTATTTGGAGACACCCCCATATCTGCATGTAAGTGTAGTCAAGGTGTGGGATCTATTCACTTGTCTCCCCCCAACTCTTGTGTGCGTTTCGAGAACCAGTCGCCTCATTGCAAGGAGTCTGTGGTCGCGTCCGTCGGGATACTGACCAAGACTGTGTGCCGTCCAAGCTGAATCCTCAGGGAAATCCACCCTCTGGGTTAGCACCTCTGGCGTCCGCGTGTATTTTACACGATAACTGGGCTGTTCCTAGATCCCCTGCTAACAACTGTGCCAATCTGAAGGAAAACACCGAGTCGGTGGGTTTTTCGCACTTGACCCCAAGGACAACGGAAAACTCTTGAGCAGTGCCGAAGACTTCAACTGTCTACCACTCCCTCGTATTGTAACCTTCACATTTCGAGACGCAGGGGCAGGGATGGAGAAAGTCAAGGGAGGCGTTCCCAGCAAAGCTCATGTCGACGATCACCCTGATGATTTTTAGGTTTGTGTGTGTCTTTTTGGTTGGTGGAAACTGGGGTAGTTTCTAAACCCAGTTATTCACTTGTAGCAGGGGATCTGGGAGCGGCGCAGAACCCAGGGTACCAATTTCTCGGAGCCAAGGGAAGCTTCTTCAAAGTGATCAAGTGTACCTGGAGTCTCCATGACCCTGCAAAAAATGTTTCGTTACCCACAATTGAGGGGTTATGACCCCTTTTTCCAGGGCTCATGAGGACTCCAGGTAGATACATCTCTCGACACCTGGAACCGGATGGCAGGGGTTCCAAGCGCAAAAGCGCCCAACGAGCTTGACCTCGCCTCGTGGCCCTTCTCCACCTCCACTTCTTGTCCTAGCTGCAACGGCGTGCTGCCAAACCCTACCTGAAGGGGGAGGGGGGTTGGGGGTCCCCCAATTCCATTTATTTACTCTTCCCCATAGGGAAAATGGCCCCATAAATGGAATCCAGGGGTCACCCCCCTATTCCATTTTGAAGGGGGTGGGGATGCTGCCAAAAGGGAGGGAAGGACGGGTGGTGAATGACGGCCGGTTCCCGAGCATAGTGTCCAATTTTAGGGGAAATAGATGGATTTCCCTGGTAGATGAGAAAGAAAACCACCAGGTAAACCAGGAATCGCCATCCATTTGACTAGCAAAGCAGCCAAAAAGGACACCTATATTCCCTAGAGTCCCGTTCTGACGCCTGGAAAAACAAGGTCATAAGCCCTTAATTTTGGGTAATGGCCAACCATGTTCAAAGGGTCAGAGGGAGACACCAAATGGATGGAGGACCAAAAGCCGGGGGCTTCTGGGGGTGCTGTCCACCCCAGCAATCGAAACTATTCCGGTAGAAGGATACATCCCCAAAAACCACCTACTTAGAAAAATGGATCTGTCCAATCCTCTGAACAATTTCTTCAAGCATCAAATTCAAGAAAACAATTCCAGACCTTGCTGGTTGGCCGGCCCAAAGCTGTTGGATTGCCAGTCAAACGTAAAATCCTCTGTTGAGGACGTAACATACAGGACGACCCCCAGAAATTGTGGGTTTCTCTTTACTTTCCCTTTAAAGCCCCAAATCTAATTTAGTTTCATGTGTCCCTTTCCATGCTGGAAATCCTTTTAGTGTTCCCTTTAGTTTCCCAAAACGGTAGTCTCCAAAATTCTATATAGCTTTCTCAGTGGAGGCGAGAGCGTGGAGCGAGTCTACCCCAAAAACCACCCGAAGGACCGTGGACCGACACCTGCCGGTGGCTGCACCTGCGCAAAACAGCCAATCACTTTCCCCTGGGAAGGCCACAAAAAATCCAAACTGTTTGTTTACATCAGTCTAGGTCAAGGGATTTGTTTTGTTAAAACTGACATTCGTTTGCTGTTGTGTGAAGCCCTTAAACACTAGACTGGTCTTCACGTTAGTCTTATGTCGAGGAACTCAGGAAGTGAGCATATTGACACATTCCGGCTTGGCGATTGCCACACACGCAACCATGGAAAATGGAAATCCCAAAGAGAGGGCGAAGGGTCCGGTGAGGCTTCTCAAAAAACATGTTGAGAATCCCAAAAGGGCGCCCTTGGTCTTCCTGGACCCCCTTTGACCGATCCAACTGTTTTCTACCGACGTGACGCAAAAAGAACGGGGTCAGGCAGAAAAACGGGGATCGCTCCTTTGGAGGTCCACCGCAAATTAAGGCATCGAGACTCGGGTCTCGCAAGGCGGGACCCCAGCAAAACACTTGTGCTGACAGCAAGAGCTCTCGGGACTTTCTGGGTGTTCCTCAGAATTGGGGTCGGACTTCCAGGTAAAGGGGGTCATTTCCTATTTCTTGCTGCTCGAGGAATGAGAAATGGACTGACCCCACCAAAGAAAACCTCCCAACTGGTGGTTTCCTTTAAGACCCAAGCCTGCGTTCATTCCATTTTTCACATTCCCAACCGATATCTCGCACCCATCGCAAGAGGTTGAGACACCGGCGGGGAGACGGGCTCAGCGGGGCGATGATACCTCCGGCGCGCCGCCATGTCGCGCGAGGGCGACTTTGATGCTTTCTCCCTCAGGCGAACAGCCAAGCGGAAGCTCCCCCAATTGGCCGACCCTGCACAGGGATCACCAAGTGGGAAAGAGATACACTTCACTCAGCCGAAGTGGAAGCCTGTGCATTGTAGTAATATGTAGTAATGATGTACAGGTTGACGCAAGTGAAGACGGGGCTCCTTTCGGTTTCGGCTCAAGAAAAACATCAGGGACACCAATGACTCCCCTCGAACATCATGGTTTTCCTGCTGGTTTCCCTTTGAATCTCCAAAGAAGGGGGAGTCCTCCAAACAAAAACACTAATAGGCTAATCTAGTGGAAACATCCGCCCTTTGGCCTCCCTCGAAAGTTGCTCAAGAAACGGCCACTGAGCATAAAACCGTCCAAGTCAAGTGGGATAAAAGTCAACGCCCGCACCTCCGGTTTTGACCAAGCAGTGACCTGTTGAATTGGGTACGAATGTCAACTAGGACCCGAAATGCTGGACATCAAACTTTGGTGGGGATTTCTGTCCACCAACCCCTTTTCAGGGGGTTCCAAGCAGCAAAATTCATAGCCAATCACTTGGACACTAGCAGAAACCCGCCACAAAAGCGCGTGCTGAGCTGAGCTGTCGGCCGATGCCGCCTTCGGGCCTCTGCGTGCCTGAAGGCAGCGAATTTGGGGGATGTTTGGTGCGTCTTTTGCTGGAAGGCCCCTCTGTGGTTCCTCACTTGCCAGGACCCCGAAATGAAAGGTTGACCTTGAGAAGGGCCATGACTAAAAATGGACCAAAACGCCAAAAGGTCGGCTTTGGGCAACTGAGGTTCTGATTTTATTCCCCAGCTGAAAGCGTGTTTTGGGGGTCGAGAGCTGCCCAAATAGGCTCTGGGGTGGTTTGGGGCAGCTGAAAGAAGGAGGATTGAAAAGAAGGGTTCCAGAAACAAAGGGTGATTAACTTTTGCGGCCACTACAAATGGACCAAATCAGGGAACCAAAGGTCAAAAGGGCGACTGAGGTGCTTATTTTATTCCCCAGCTGAAAGCACTTGGGGGGTCGAGAGCTGCCCAAAATCGGTGGCTTCGGGCAGCCAAAAGGAAAGAAGGAGATTCGGTTCAAAAGGAGATGGTTCCAGGGGGTTCCAGAGCTGGCTGTGGGTCAAAAGCAATGGGATCCCATTTTGGGGTAGGTGAATTCACCACCCATTTTAGAACCCATTTTAGTGGTTGGATTGGGATGTTCACTGGGGGTACGGGGCTAGCTGTTGGGGATACCACCTGGGCTTATTTTTTGAGGGCACCTTGTGGGGAGGTTTTATATGGGCAACACCTATAGACGGGCCAGAAAGGTGTAGTTGTTCGAGCTCCCTGGTTTTATGTCGCATCCATTTGCAGGGTTCCGCTAGAAGGATGCACCCACAAAACAAGATGCTAACTGCTTGGCTCCCTACTTGTGCTTGCTCACTCGGACTCTGTCACGGCTTGTCTCCCCACTTTTCTCCCCCACCTTTCTCCCTACCTAGAGTCTCCATGACCCCGAGAAAAAGGGGTCATAACCCCTGAAAAAATGGGTGATGACCCCATTTTTTAGGGTCATGGAAACTCTGGGTACTTATCTCCCTGTGCTGACTTTGATCTTGTGTCCCTCCCACTTGTCTCCCTGCTTGTGCTTGCTGACTCGGACGGATCGGTTCTGGTAGAAGGGATACCTCCCAAAACTGCTTGCTTGACAAGAAGCTGGCAACAGCGATCCGCGTTATCTGACCCAAATCTCAAATCAGGGCGCTTGTTTTCCAGGGAACTGGCTGGTTGATTGGGCGCTTCCAAAGGGAAACCAAAGAGAACCACCCATGTTGGGAATCCATTGCCCAACTTTGACTGGATATCCTTGCGACCGCGACACAACCATCGATGCTCGGATGCCCAAACTCTAGTTGCCCAGTGCAGCGCTATCTGTTGGCTACAAGACTGATAAGACCAGCAAACAACTCTGGCCCACACTTTGGGACATGGCAACGGCTGTGGAAGAGTTGCACTCTTACGGGCTGGCCAAACTTCCTTCAAACCCTTATGGACATGTCAGCCGACCGATCTCACACCCATCGTCCCTAAAGTCAAGAACCACCAAATGGCCCTCAATACATTCCAACAGCATCTTTCTTTATAGCAACCAAACCAAGGTGATCGCAAAAGGACACCCCCCGAACCCACAGCAACCCCACGAAGGGTCTTCAGCCTCAAAAGAGACAGCCCCACATCCCAAATCAGCTCCCAGCTTTGCGCAGGTGGCAGCCGACCGGCCTCAAGAGACCGAAAATGGAACCCAAGTGTGCTCCCTTTAAAATCAACTAAAACCAAAGGGGTTCCCCCCCAAAAAAATCACCCCCATCTCAGGAATCAACCCCACCCTCCCCCAACCCCCAAATCCCCCATGGTTGTTTTCCTCCAAAGGCCTTGGTAAGGCCTGGATTGATTATTGGGGTAACGAGGAGAGGGTTGAGGAAGGGAGTGGATCTGATAACAGGCACGCTGGAATGTGTGCTGTGTTGTCACTTCTTCCTATTAATCAACCTACCCCTAATACTAAAAACTCCCTCCGAGTTGGTTTTTAGTTACAGGGGAGGGGACTGTTTTTTTTATTAGGGGGAGGGGATTATAGGGGGAGGGGATTATCTTTGCATGTGTCAACTTTTAGTGTGTGAGAAGCATAGGACTTTCAATGTGGAGTTCATGACATATAATCCTTCAAGGGGAGAACAAAAGGGTCAAAAGATTGGTTCCGGACTGAAGACTCTACTGGTCCCAAAGCTTGCTTCCTGGAATTTGGTTGAATAAGTGACGCCTCCGACCATTTCCCCCTCAAAAAAAATGGTCTCGAAGTGTTCCAAATTCCTTCAGTGGTGCTATGCTCAAGAGCGCTTTGCATATGTTGGTTATTGTACGCATGGGAAACGTAATCAAGAATCCTTTGGCCGGTGTCACCTCTTGCTGTCGCTGAGGGGTTGTCATCCTTATTTAAGATATCAAAGGCTGAACAAAGTTAAAGGATACCCCTTAGTTTGTCAGGAATTGATCCTTGAAGAAACCAGCAAGTTTCATGATTGTTTCTGCGGGCGCATGAAGTCGACACATCCATAAGTTCGAAAGTGAAACTTGGCTCCAAGGCAGGTTTGTCTGGACATGACATCAACATGTGGCAAATGCCCGAGTGCAATCTTAGGGTGGAAAAAACATATTTTGTGCTGCGCGACATGCAGCTCTTCCAAAAACATCTAGCTTTGATTAGCCCGCCTTTGTGGGTGATTTACACAATCCTAGGAGAGGAACAAGGAAAGCCCTTTCTGCCGTGGCTTGTGGTTTGTCAACTTGCAATTCAAGGAATCCACCGCGTTGTTGTTCACGTCACTTCCGACAAAAGGCACCAGATTCTTTCCCACAACAAAACTACTTCGCATGTTTGCCATGCAGCACAAATTCAAAAAACACTCTGCTGGTTTCAATACGGAAAGAGAATCAGTGCGACACCAAGCATGTAAAAGGATCCCTACACTGTGACGCCTACCCTCAACTGCCAAGATCTTGATGGTAAAGTGCTCTGGGTAATCTGTAAAAAACAACGTGGCCGGTTTCCTTTTTTTTCCCCCTGGAAAAACCAGTAGGGCCTGTGTAAGCAGAGGTGACCAGTAACCAGTGCGATCAATTTCTTTCCAAACTAACCTGTTTCTTGAGGGTACCCCATTTTTTGTAGTTTTTGCAGGGAAACCACCAATATATGTTCCAGGCCGTGGACCCCCCCCCCCCCCAACCCCCCCCCCCCTGTGGGGGTGGGGGGCTGTATGGTCTAGGGAAACCCATATCTATGGGGGCGGGGGGGGGGGTTCCACGGCTGAGGGAGCAGAGAGGCAGAAACATTCCAGGTGTAGGCGCAGGCGACCAGGTGTTCTAACCAAATGTGTGTTCAACGTGTTGTTACGCCTGAAGTTGAGGCTCTTTTTTTAGGGTCATTCACGCGGATGTCATTGCATTGCCAAGCCAGGAAAAGCGAATTTCATCCTCTGTGGCTTTTGTCAATGGATGTTGAAAGCGGGGTAGCAGAAAAACAGTTTTGCCTGGTATGTTCGAAGGGGAATATAACCGTTCTCTACGGTGTTCTGGTAGTTCCATGTGGCGCAGGATCGATTCCACCAATCTTAGGCTTTATCTTTCCGGTTAGATGGGGCAGGGTCGTGAGCTTCGGCAAGGTGTCTAGGCGGACGTTCGTTTTGGGCGGCTTGCGAAGCTCGAGTCGGGAGGGGGGGGCGGGAACCGCCGCAGAGCGGCATGGCCTAGATGGAGGCTGTCGGGGAGAGGCGCCGGGCGGCATGTCTTTGCCGCTGGAGGTAACTCCACAGCGGGCTCCACGGAGCCAGGCCTGGGGAAAAGCAAATGATCTCGAAAGCTACGATATCAGTGTTGTGTAGATATATATGTTGCTCCAGCTTGCTTCCTGTTTGGGGAGACAACAAATGACGAGAAGCAAACTTCCTGTCACTCTTGCTGCAGGAATTAGATGCGGCTCTTTCCTTTGTCCGGCTTTTTCCAGAAGCATGGTCTTGGAACGTACTTCTCCTAGATTCTTCGAAGAAGAATGCACTGGTGAGCAGGCCGCAGCTGTCGACACAAGCCTTTCTCCAGCATCTTCCCGCTCCTGTGACCATGACTTTATCACATTTTTTTTTCACGCTTGGGGTTCTTCTTTTTTCCAGCGGGGAGAAGGGGCACTGGGAACAGATGCTTGTCAGGACTGGCTCCAGATGGATGCGCACTTCTTTATGCGCCCTAACCTGGCCTCCCTGGTCATGGCTGACTTGGACGACCATGACGGATCTTTACAAGATGTGCTGAGCCTCGCTCCTCGAGCACTGGTGCAGACATCCCCACGTTGCTTCCAGATCTGGTATACGCTCGATCAGAGGTTTGCCGCCTCGGACGCTGCCACCGTGACGAGGGAGCTGAGTCAGATCCTCGGCGGGGATACGCGGAGCGCCCGCACGACTCAGGTCGGGCGAATGCCCGGCAGCATCAACAGAAAGCCACATAAGATGGCTCCTGCCATGCTGCTGCACTCATGCCTACAGAACCTGAACGAGGCCCAATACTTGCACATGGTGCGGCCGCCTTTGCTGCGGCTGCAAGGCGGAGGTGTCCACGTGGAGGCTCTCAAAGACAAGCCCGTGGTGGATAGATCTAGGGAAGACTGGGGCATCGCTTGTCGCTACTTCGAGAGCCATCCTGCAGCGACGGTTGACGATGCTGTGCGGGACTGCCAGCTGACCGCTACTCGCCCCAACCAGGCAGGTCCTCTTTTGGAAGCAAGGGCCCTCTATATTTTTTGGGATCATTTTGCATGTGTGTCTGCTTGCTCCTGTTTGACACTGTCGTCCTTGTTCAGGGTATTTGGGGTAGACCGCCACTTAAGTCAGTCCATCCTTGCATGACCCGCAGGAGTACTATGTCAGAAGAACCTTCGGGCAGGCGCTACGCCATGTTCGGGAACAGCTCGGGGACCGTTTGGTGACTCCGGCATCAGAGTCAAGTGCCGCCGGTTCTGGCGGTGTAGTGCCTGCTCAGCTTGGCAGTGGCTTGGGGGGTTCCCACAGCGGCAACGGCGTCACACGTGACCAGGTGTGGCAGATCGTGCAGGAGGCCTTGCGCCAGCGGGACCGTGCAGAGCCCCGGGATGACAAGCTTTGCGCCTCTTGTCGGGTGAGCAAGAAGAGACCTCTCTTTGCTTCCGGGCAGTGGGCCAGTGGGAGCGGGGTCTGCCTTGAGTGCTGACTTCTCTGCAACGCAGTGGGCCGCTGGCGCGGCGGCGAAATGCTGCCGCTGTGTGGCCAAGGCTGCACAAGATTCCATGAAGACTGTCAAGACCTGCAAGGTCTGCTCGAAGCTCTTATGTAACTTGACGATTTCCAGCCGTTCCCTTAGCTTCCAAGGTTTTTACGGTTTAGCGGGGGCTTCCATTTAATCTACTCAATGTCAACCTTTTAGCAGGGGATCTCAGGGCAGCCCAGGCAAGGACGAGTTCACTCGGACACAGTGGGACCTGCCGGCTGCTGCGGGGTCTGCCTGCAAGAGCTGCTGCCAGCAGCGGGTAGCGCACCGGCAAACCAGTTTTGCAGATGAGCGGAAGCGCGTGCCTGTGCTGGCGCGCTCACTGTGGCCCCAAGGCATTGCCCCTGAGTTTGCGGCCCGTTGGATTCTGGAGGCCGGCGACTTGGATCTGCCAAGCGAAAACCTGAAGAGCTACCAAGCAATGCTGGCCAGACAGGGTGTTGCCTCCTTTGCTGAGCGAGCTCCGGCACCACAGAAAAAGAGCGCGTTGGGCCCTGAGAAAAAGCTGCAGTACTTGTCTGCGAGCCATCAAGACATGGCCCACCTGGGCGGACGTGACGGCATACTGCAGGCTCTCAAGTCCACAGACCTGACATGGCCCCTCATGAAGCTGGACGCAACTTTTTTTGTGGAGCGGTGTCAGGATGGGCGGGGCAACGTCTACTTGAAGGGCGTGCGTGTTTCCGGGTCCCTCCCCCTGTTGAAAGCAAACTGGTGAAGCTCAGATGGGCGGGGCGTAGTCAACAGTTTCCGGGCCCCTCCCCCTGTTGAAAGCCAATTGCGAAGTTCAGATGGGCGGGGTAGCATCAACTTAAAGGGCATGCGTGTTTTCCGGGTCCCTCCCCCTCCCCCCGTTGAAAGCCAACTTGTCACGATCAGAGAAGAACGCGGAACACACGGAACCATTTTACGCCTTGTTTGGCCCTTTCAGCAGCGCAGGATTTGTCCCATTGCAGGATGTTGAGACGAGCGAGATGGCTTGTCTGCATGTGACTGTTGCAGCTTGTCATACACAGCTGTGCATTCCGCATAGACCATCTACTCATATGGGCGCACCTTGTCAGACTGACTGCCTGGGAGTCGATCAGTGTCCTTTGAGCCTTGCTCACGCTGCAGGAAAGAAACACGCATCGCTAAGGGGGTAGAGAGACGTGACTATAGAAACGTGACTAGAGACGCGACGCGAGATGTGACAAGAGTCCGCTTTCGTGTCCGCATTCGGGTTCGTGGCTTCTATCAGGTTTTCTTGGTTTCATACCTGTTATTGGACGCCCTGACAGGAGTGCAGACGGAATACCACGCGGGACACCATTGAGTCTCGGCCTCGCCACTTGCCTCGTCCAGGGCAAGCTGGAGACGTGATCGGATGGGATCTGAAAACAGTGGTGCCGGTGAGGGGGTCCAAATGGACCATGCTTCTAGCAATCGACTTCACGTCGTCGAAGGCGCGAGGGTTACGGAATCGAAGATGAGCAGGTTGGTTCCGTCATGCAGGACACACACCGCAGAAGCGGCCAGCCTAAACCCCTTGAGGTGTGGACATGGGACCTTGACTTCAAGAAGGCCAACCTCCAGGAAGTCCAATGGAGAATGATCAAGTTTTACCAAGAGGTCGAACTGCCCTGCTGCTGCTGGACGGACAATGGATCGCAGTTCCGCAACCTTCTCTCAGCGGCGATTGAACTCACTCTCGGTGTCCGTGCGATGACAATACCAGCCGGTCGTCCACAATCGAACGGGATTGTTGAGATCAGATCCCGAGCCGCAAAAGCAGTGGTCGTTTGGCCCCCTTCTAGAAAGCATGTGAGCTGAATCTCCTCCTGCTTGCAAAGCTTAAAGGTAAGGGCTAGCCCTTGATACCTTGTTGCACCCCCCCTCCGCTGTGATGTCCGAGGAAAGAAGATCTTAGATCGCGCTGTTCAAGGAGATCGAAGCCGATTAGGCACGGCCACCGTTGCCTACAACCAGAAGAATCTCACCACATGCGACTTGCCCCCGGAGACACTGTGGAGGCTCCTCAGGCCACAAGAGAGCAGATGGCGGTACTTCAACCTGAAGGCAGCGGCTGAAGCTCCAGCGACCATGACTGATGGTGAGTGGCACGCCTTCCTGGACGCAACGCAATGGGATAAGCAATCTCTACAGGATAGAGCGAAGGCCCTGCATGCCGTCATCAACCCATTGCGGCGGGCCATGCAGAGCAAGCAGCTGCGGGCGCAGATGAAGACCCAGATGAAGTGGCTCCGCAGAAAGCACAAGAGGGCAGCCATGCCGCTGCTTGCGGGGGACATAGTGCTGTCCAGAGCCACACAGTACACGACACGGTGTGGGCCGCATAAGTTCGAGACGAAGGGCGGTGGTCTGAGGACATGGGCCGTGCTGCAAGTCCGTCAAGGATTTGTCCAGGTGCAGGATGCTGCGACGGGCGAGATTGCCTGGAGACACGATTCGCACCTGAAGCTCATGCCGCGGGCCGTGGCGGCCGACAATGACAACCAGAATATGTCAGCGATGCAGTCTCCGGAGACGGTGATGCCTGCGTGGGACGTCGTCCGGGCTGCCGCGGATGGTGCGTGCCTTTTCAGGTCGCTGGCTATGGGCTGCGATGCTGCTCGTGGGGCCACAGCTGCTGCTCTGACAGACGATGCGGGTAGTGCGGCGGAGATGCGCGAGACGCTGCTCATGCACTTGGAGTGTCGCGCAGACAACGCAAAGAACGATGATCTAATAAGCCTTCAGCTGCAAGTGGAGGCCGAGATGCTGGACGACCCCATTTGGATGCAGGACCATGCTGCTGATGCCTGGTCGTGGCCGGACTACTTCGCCTTCATGTCACGCCCTGGGAGTTACGGCACGGCCGTGCATTTGCAGACTTTCGTGGAAAGCCACGAGATGGCGATCGAGGTGTGGGAGAATATCGCTCCCCATGGCAAGCTCACGTGCACGTGGCGCGAGGGCGAAGCCTTTAAGAAGGCTGTGCGTCTTCTGCGGTCGGGCAACCATTATGATCTGCTCGTCCCTCGGAGACGGTTGCGGCATAAGACCAGCTGCAAGTGATGGTCCGACCAAGTATAAAAGATGTTCTTTCGCCGCAGAATCAGACATGGAGGTGTTTTGACGTATTTGGAACATGAGCTTTGTGGTAGCAACTGATCACCAGACATTTGTGCACATGGATCTGCTGCTCTTCTCGCATGTCTCGAGAGCTTGCAAGGGTCTTTGGTGTGACGCCAAAAACCATGGATCCAGTCCTTTGTTAAGAACCCCTTTTGTTGTTAAGATTGACACAAGAAGAAAAGCTACATTTTTTCGGGGTTTCTTTTAAAAACACTCTTAGACCTTTTGAAATCAAACGGGTTTGTCTCTTTTTAGGGTGCCCCTCGGATGTGGTGTTCAAGGGAAACCTCAAAGACACCCACCATTTTAGCGGGTCTCCCTCAAAAAAAAAACACGCGGATCGCACTTCCGGCGGTGAGTGGCGGGGTTGGTGACGAGGGTCGACATAGTTTCGTGCGGATTTGCGTAGTGGCAGTTTCTTGGAAATCTCGCGGGCGAGTAGCCCTCAGGCGGGCAGGACGGGATCTGGGACCACCAAGGGGGGGGGGACCATACCATTGGGGGGGGGGGGGGGGTACGTGGCCCAGGGACTGGTACATATATTATGTATGTGTACTTTTTTGGGGGGGGCATGGTCCCCCGAAAAAAGGACGCACCCACCTATGTCTTGTGATCTCTCCAGCCAAAGCCAAGGTCCGGGCGGAGTGGGACTCGGATGCCAAAGGCCTGAAGAAAGCCGTCCAGCCCCGAAAGTATCATAGAAACGGACTTTTAGCACCCAGAGGCTCCAATCCGATTGATTTAGGGCCTTCAAACAGCCAGGTTTTGAGACCCCCAACCACCTCCGAAATGTCTAATGGAGGGGTCTTCCATTGAAAGCCGAAGCCGATCGGCGCCTCTGGGCAGGAAGCAAAGAGTGCTCTAGGAGCACTAATTCCTGGTCCATTCTTTTCCATCGTTCCTTCCTCGAAAGAACCCGATCCGTTTCCACTGGGCTGATGGTTTCCTGAAAAGGAGGAGCCAGTTGAAAATCGGTTCATGACCCCCCTTATTTAGGGTCATGACCAGCCATGTTTCATTCGGGTCGGAAGGAGACTCTAGGTACATTTGGCAGAGAACAGGCAGCCTGTTTCTTGTGACCCACTCTAGGAAACGGTTTGGATGCCGTTGTTGTGGATCCACCCCTGTAGGATATTAAAAGAGTACTAAAAAAGAACCGGCAGGAAAAAGGAATAGGCCCCTGGTTGGTGCTCAGATCCCCTGCTAAAGGTGGGGGTCCGAGTCCTAAAAGCAGACGCACCCATGTCTCCTTTTTCATCTTGTCGTGTCTGCTCATTTGAAGGCCAAGCCCAAAAAAGGCTTCTGAGCAGCTTAAAAAGCTGGCGACACATCCTAGCTCCTTTCTTTCCCTATGGCCAAGTGAACGGTCACCCATTGGGGTGGGCACCTCTGTGGGTTGTTTGTTGTCTTGCTGGTGCTCAGTAGGGAATGTGAGAATGAACCCAGGGATTTCCGAATACAGGAAACCACAAGGGATGGGTTACAAGGGTCATTCCCTAATTCCCTACTGAGCACCGGCAAGGTGTGTCCCACTCTCTTTGCGTCTTTACAGTCTGAAACAGGCATAGGTGGCCTTTGGAAAAATAGATGGCCCTGGCAAATGGAATAAACCCCATCTAAACCAGTGCCATCTATTTTTAACCCAACTAACCTATAAAGGACACCTATGGAAACAGGCGTTTCCCGGAAAGAGAAATGATCGTGTGATCAAAACTGCTAAGACATGTTATGTCGAAGCCTTGGCCTCACAGGCACCTGTAGCCCCCCCCCCCCCCCGTGTTATGCAAAACCAACCGAACCAAAACACTCACCCAAACCAACCATGTGCAAACTACCCTCCCATCAACATGGAACTTGAGGGGAACCCCTAAGACTATGTTCCTTTTAAAGGGATCTTCTGTCAGGTTGCATGTTGGGATGGGGTTTATCCTAGGTGACCTGTTCGAAAAATCTCGATGGCCCTGGTGAATGACACAAAACCAATCTAAACCAGAGGAACACGTCTAATTTAAGCAGACTAACCTAAACAGGACACCTATGCTTGGTATGCTAACACTGTTTGTTTTTTGTTCAAGCACACGAAAGTCAACAAGCCTAACCTAGAACCATGGCAAAAGTAAAGATACCGTAAACTGCACCTGGGCCTCGGTACCCCTAATTTATCGACCTCGGTTTCAACTTTGAGGATGATTCAAAGCCCTCAAAGTCCCTGATGAATCCCCCGAGATTCACATGTGCGTGTGTCTTTCTTTGAGGGTACTCCCTTTTGGGTTGTTTTAAAGGGAAACCATCATTTGGCTGTGGATCAAAATTAAACCTCCAGGAGACCGCAGGTTTTACTGCTTGGTTCCATTTACCAGGGTTCCATTTAGGGTTCCTATTCGTGAACAACTGCCATATTTGGGGTCCGAGTCCGGAAAAAAAACAGACGCACCCAAGTCTCTTTTTCTTCATATCGTGTCTTCTCATTTTACGGCCAGACCCAAGCTGGCAAAGCCTCGTAACGTCTTTACACATGCCCATGCGGGGAGAGAAAGGTCACCCATTTGGGTGGGCAGCACCGGTGGGCTTCTTTTTTAATACTAACCTTTCCTGGGCTGTCCTCAGATCCCCCGCACCCCGCTTCTCAATTTTTAGCGGGTTAAATTCGGAAATCCAACCACCAAAACACTGAAAAGCAAAAAGTCTAAGGAACCGGATGGCTGGGAGCTTACTACCTGGAGTCTCCATGACACAAGTTGGCATCTCATCATTTTCTCGAAATCAGGCCCAAACAAGATGGCTCTTCCCCAGAAATTCCCTTTCAAACCACAAAAAAAAACGAAGCGGTACCTGGAGTCTCCTTCAGACCCGAATCAAGTTTCAAAAGGAACCCCGGTCCAGCCCTACTTGCTCTGGGGGGTTGTAGGCCCAGCGGAGCACCACCAGCTCAAAATTAAACAGGAGGGGCAAACCGCAGGTTTTGTTCCATGTTTCCACTTACCAGGCCAACCCATGTTGGTACCGGTTTTTTGAGCCACAGCCATATGTTTTAGCATTGGTAATACTAAACTCTCTATCAGCCCTGTGCCAAAACCCCAAGCAGGAACTTGTGACCCCGCTTGGCGGGGCTCTGGCATGCGGGGGCGATCCCTTGTTCACTTGATAAGACCTGGGCTTAAAAAACCTTGGCTTATCTTGGGCTGAATGAGGGATAGCCCCTCGGCTGACTGGCAGCGCTTGAAAACTCCTAGTCAAGCGGGTCCTACATCAAGGGAAACTCAGCTGTAAGTCCTTGCGCCCATCGCTCGGGTTCCCCGTTTTTGGGCGTCATGGAAGATCTCTCGCGCGCCTGGAGCGCGGAGAGTCCTGGCTGGCGCGCGGGCCTTTGGGTCAGACCTTGGATTGAAGCCTTGTCATCCCTCCTACCTGGGGGGAGGGATGGGGGTAGGGCCCAGTTTACATTGGTGGACAGTCCCGAAGAGGTTCCCTAACCCCAAAGGATGCTCTGACTATGGCAACACAGAAGTGAAGCCAGCAAACAACTGCCAACAAACATGCACGTAGAATGAGACAGGTCGTTGCAGGATTCCGAGGTGGGCCTGCAAGTCACTCATTCCGGTGCCCTTCCAATCAGCAAGAAAGGCAGGATATAGCTTGAATCAAGTAACCTGGGTGGGACTGCACCCGCTCTTCCAAAAGCTGTACGCCGAACCCTCCGGGTGAAGACTCTGCCTTGCAAGCTGATTCTACATGACAAACTCAAGCAAGTCAAATGAAGTGATCATTGAGTTTTGAAGTGCCGGGGTCCCAAAAATAACCCAACCCACCTTTAGGCTGCGTTCAAAGGGAACGCAAACCAACCACCTGTGAGGTCCCCTGATTTTGGATGCACCTCTAAACCGAATCAAATATATGGCTATCAGTTTGATAGGGGTCCCCCTGCAAAGTGACTGGTGGACACAAATCCCCACCTAGATGATGTCAAAGGGTCCCGAATTACATTTCACGCACACACATATTGAACAACTATGTTGTTTCCATTCACTTGGACGTCTCTGTCATGGAACAAAAAAACATATTGTTCGTTCCCGTCGTCCTGCAACAAGAAGGCGCAGACATGAACCCTAGACCATTAAATTAACATACTGTGGTGGATGCACAAAATCCATTTCGCACCACTGTGAAACCATGGTGGCAACCATAACGTTTGTTAGTATTTACAAGGGAATCGAATCCTTCCAGGGTTTCCGAACGGTGGTGCGAAATGGATTTCGCAACCATCCACAGCGAGCCACAGCCAACAAAATGTGGCTCCCCGGTAAAAAAGGACAAGTTTCGCGAGTCCCCCGTGTTCCCGCCCCAAAGAAAATTGCCCACTGACCGAACCTCACAGAACCGTGACGTAAAAAAAACAAAAAAATGGGGCGGCCCACCATGGCCACACGTGCCTTCTCACCTTTCCACAAAAAACACACACACACAAAAAGAAAACACACACACACACATGGTTTGTTATTATCTTTCTAAACAATGCAATAGCCTCAAAAGTTCCAGATCCTTTGAGGACAATTCTCCAGAGTGCCAACCCAACGGTTTCACCAAGCTTAAGCACCCTGATTAAACGGCCTGTTGGCATTCCTTCAACGACCAGCTGGTTGCTGGGTTGCTCTTCTGTCCACTAAAAGATTGATCAGCTTACCTATTGAAACAGGTCTTTCTGGGACCCCCTTAAGGTGGTCACCCGATGGACCAGCCGTGATTGACATCCAAGAAACCCATCTCCAGGAAATTTGCCAACCAGCAAATCGCACAACCCCCTGCTCTGTGGGGGTATTTGGAGAGAATGTCCTGGAGAACTTCTCTTCAGATGGTTTCTTAAGGACCATTTCCCTACGTCCTATACCCTACCACGTACGTACAGAACTCCTGGCTCCTTAGCTCCCTCTTAAGCAAAATTGGAGACCGCCAGCTCCGTAGCGGCCCCCTTCCAACCACCAGCTATGTGGCCACCCAGTGAACATCCCAGTCCAACCACCAAAATAGGTTCTAAACTGGGTGGTGAATTCGCCTACCAACCAAAATGGGATCCCAAAACGGTTCTGAGCCACTGCCATGTGGCAAAACCTCCCGAAGCCCGAACACCGGACACTGACCTGCATGGCCCCTGCAGCGTTCTCCGCCTCCGTGCTTTGCAGCGCCTGCCGGGCGGCATTGGGGGAGGCTGGGAGAGGGCATCAAAATGTGTGCCATGGTCGAAACTCCGTTTGATTGGCCTACTTATAGCTGCCCAAAGGACCCAGAAATAAAAAGGTCAACCTTTTGGCACTTTCACTACAATCCAACGGATCAAAAAGGTCGGCTTTGGGCAAGTGAGCCTATGGTCATGCTTTCCCTTGCCAGGAATCCTTTTAATTGTATCATGGTTACTAAGGATCTCACCAGGTAAAAATGGGAACGAAAAAGGGGAAACCAGATCCTGTCAGATCCGGTCGATTCGCTTGCATTCGTGAGTTTACATATTCCCAGTGCCCGGTGTTCGAGTCACTCCTTGACTCCTATGAAAGTTGGTGGCTGTCCGTTTGGCTGAAGCCGACAGGGTTCCTTCCATTTGCAGATACGCGCCCCCCCCCGGAAAAAAAAAGAAGGGACCTAAACAGGGCAGGGCTCCTTCCATTTGCAGATACGCGCCCCCCCGGAAAAAAAAAGAAGGGACCTGAACAGGGCTCCTTCCATTTGCAGATACGCGAGAAGGGACCTGAACAGGGCTCCTTCCACTTGCAGATACGCCCCCCCCCCCCGGAAAAAAGTGGAACTATTTCCAGTAGTGAAGTCGATTCCCTTGAAAAACCAGAACACAAACAAGTTTAAACAATATCCTTCGCAAATGCCAGGTTCCACTTAACATCCCAAACTTTCCAGTCTCCGAGAACCGAATCTTTTCGAGGGTTGGGCTACACATTCCAAAAACGTTGGTGACCGCGCGAGGTGTTCTTGAAGAATTCGTCCCAATCTTGGTTATGGGCTAACGGCCAACTCCCGGCTGGAGGTCACGCAACTCGGGGTCCATCTGGGTTGCATGGGCCCAACGACATTTCGCCTACCAGGAATCCAACACCTCGCAACACATGCACCCATTTCCGGATGGCCGCCTTTTTTCGGGATGCTCTCTTCCGGCGGTTCTGGGATTTGTTGCCGGAATATTGAGCGCGATGTAAATTCCCTGTGGAAGAAAAAGGCTGCCCGCAAATTCCTAAAACGGCATAAGTCCAACATCCCCACAGTTGTACTGTAGAGCAGAGAAGCACTGCAAGATGCGCACCAAATCAGGCCGGCGTTCTTTGCCAGCACAAAATCGGAAGGTAGCTCTGACGCTAGCCATGTGTAATCATGTGTAGCCAAGCTATTGAAGCACAATGCAACCATAAGTACGCTCTCATTGAAGCATGTAGTAGCTGACAATTGCCGCCACATGCGGGTCTGCAAAGACACAGCGACGGCCTGAATGAGCTTTTATGTGCGTTCACGGTGTTTAGGGTGGGTTTGCGGTGGGCTTAGGGTGGGCTTGGGTGAGTCTAGGGCAGGCCTTGGGTCGTTTTGGGGCAGGTGTAGAGTTTTGTGTTTGGGTATAGGCGGGGGGGTTCGGGTGAGTTTAAGGTCAGTTTAGATTGGTCTATGGGGATTAGGGTTGGTTTAGAGTGAGCTTAGGTTGGTTTAGGGTGGGTTTTAGGGCGCTCGCTCGCTTGCACACTCGCTCGCTTTCCATGAACAAATCCAAGCAATCCGTGAATCCAGCGGAACAAAAACAAAAGAAACTAAACAAAAAACATACTAAACACAACTGGATGAATACAGTACCCTCTACGTATCCCAGGCTACCGGCGACTTAAGATAGGAATTGTTGCACCTCAGGTGTGTCCCGATCGCAAGATCTTCCCTTTCAAGAGGTGTCACCCTGTGTCGGATCAAATCGGTTGGCTTCAAATACCGACTCCAAATACCCACTCTTGTTTTAGGGTATCATGTAAAAGGAGGTATGTCCCTTGAAAAACCGATCGGCTTTCCAAAAAAACTGCCCTAGAAAAAGTTGGTATTTGAAGTAGGGGGTAAACCAACCGTTTTCGGGAGGCCCATGTTGAGAAGAAGGCCCCAGGAGCCCAAGATCCTAGATGAAGGTCCCAATAAAAAACTTCAAATGCCCATGGGTCAAAATCCAAATCGTACCCCCAGTGAACATCCCAATCCAACCACTAAAATAGGTTCTAAACTGGATGGTGATTTCACCTACCCACCAAAATGGGATCAACCACAACGGTTTTGACCACCGCCAAATCACCAGGTCTTGCTTGGGGCCCTTGGGGGGGGGGGCTTAAGCCCAAAGAACCAAAAAACGACTCAAATAACAAGGTCTTCGGGCCATGGAAACGGTACTCTTCAAGGCCTCAAAGACCCCCCCAAAAAAAATCAAATGACATAGATCCAACTCGGGCCATGGACCAAAAAACTGGCGTTTTGGAACGGAACTTGAGCCAACCATCCAACCAACAGCTCCATTTCAGTGTGGCGTGTTAAGTTTAGACCCCCCCCCCAGGGCTCCTTAAAAGAAATTCATTTTGCAACCATTTGAAACATGGCTTTTTCAACACCAAAATAAAAGGAAACTACCATTTACAAGGCAATCTTCAAGTGTAAAATGGAAGGATCCCTGTGTTGAATCGGCAGTTCTTGAATCAAGGGATGTGTGTGTGTGAGAGGTTTTGTTTGGAGGCCCCCCCCAAAAAACAATAGTGTTTTTTCTGCTTGGTTTCCCTTTATAACCGCAAGACAAGGCTCCCTCAAAAATAATGACACACCCATAGTAGGGCGAGTGTGTTTCTGTGTGTGCGCTTTTTTCAAAAGCGCGCGGCTTGCGGGTTGGTTTTTTATTTTTCGGGCACTCAACTAGCCTCCAGCGAGAGCGCGGGCGACAGCACCTGGCGCTGCTGATGCTCGGTGATTGCGGATGTTGGGAATGCACCTACTGTGGATGGACGAAATACGTTCGAACCACGAAATGAAACCATGGTGAGACCATAAGGTTTGTTGGTATTTACAGGGGAATCATCAGAAACCAGGGTGCTTTGGGTGGTGCGAAATGGATTTCGTCCATCCACAGTAGGGATTCCTTTCAAGGAAAATCAGAGGTAGGGAATGTGAAATGGAATGAACCCGGGGACCCATGTCCCCTCAGAAAGGAAACTAATAGTTGGATGGTGTATTTCGAGGTCATGCCATTTCTCATTGCCTGCATCTCTCGCACCAACAAGACAAACCGCGCAGAGGTCAAGACATACGAGTTAATGAGAACCCTTTGGTGGACATCATTTAGCTGGGATTCACGTCCACCGCCTTTGAGGTGGTGTCCTACTGAAAACAAAAAAGAATATGAAACATAATGCTTTTCAATTTTGACTGTTCTCAATGAAACTCGCTGGCAACTGTTGATCTCTGTGGTCTTCCCTTTCGCAAGATACAAACTACCGGTGGCTTCCAATGAAAAGCCAGAAACTGCGAGGAAGCTGCAAACCGTGTCCTGAAGAACGGGGCTCGGCGCTCTTTGCCGGAATTGCCGGAACTACGAACCCCCCCTGGAAGTCTGAACCTGAGTCTGACACCGCTGAAAACCTGCAAGATTTGGATCCGGAAAAGAAAACCAGAACGAATCGCTCGCCAGCATCTACCTGGAGTCTCCATGACCCCGTAAAAATGGGGTCATTACACAAAATTAAGGGGTTATGACCCCTTTTTCTAGGGGTCATGGAGACTCTAGGTATTTCTAATCAAGCTAACCTAAAAAGAACACCTATGAGCAGGACATGCTACCAGATCTTGTCCCGGAACTCGTCAAATGAAAACCACTGAGAGGATACCCGCCCGGCCCAGCAAAATCGGCCAGGCGGTTGTGAATCTAGATTTTATGGAAACAGGAGTTCCCATAGCATGAACTACCCTTCCTCCCACTAACATGGCATCTGTGGGGAGGTACTTGGAAGTTCAATTTCCTCTTGGGTGCCCCTCCTAGAAACATCCAAACTCACGGTTCGACAGCCACGGTTAAACATGTGTTGCGGGCCACAAGGACATGGCTGTGGCTCAAAAAACCGGTACCAAAATGGGTTACCCTGGTAAGTGGAAACATGGTTGCCAAAACCTGCGTAACCACATAGCCGTGTAATTTCAAGCGTCACACCCACATGAGAACTTGTGTAAGTCGCCCCATGTCTGAGGGGTACCCCCAAATTGTCCACAAACAACTGGAAAGCTGGACCGACAGTCACGATCGCATGACGTCAATTTGTTTTGTACCCCACGCCACCATGATTGATGCTAAATTGCTGATATGGCTGTGGGTCAAAAATAGGTGCCCCAAATGGAACCCTGGCAAATGGAAAGCTGGACAAAAACCTGCGGTCTCCTGGTGGCTTAACTTTGACTCATACCCATATCAACCCTTTCTGTAACACCAAAGTGGGCCGTCCCCTTCCCGCTTTGTAATCCCCATCTGCCTGGCAGCTGGATGGTGATACCCTCGCCTGAGCAAGCTTGCTTCTGGCCGATACAGTTGAAGGAGCCCGCCCAACGCGGGTGGGCCTGTGCTCTGGGAACTCCCCTCCCCCTCTTGGTCCAAATATAAAAACAAACCCACAAGGACACCAAGAAGCTTGGCTTTCCAATTTTGAGACACACTCACATGCAGGCATGTTCCTTGGGGGTTCGCCATCAAACCACCTTCTCGTTGGCACCAAATGGGCGAGAGTTGCTGGCACGAAAAGAAGCGCGCCGCTGAAAAAAGAAACGACAGCCAGTGGAAAAGCAACGAGCTGGCAACCCGGGCTGTCCTGCCGGCAAAACCACTTTTTGGTGGGTTAAAAACACGGAACCTTCCTCACTAAAACACCAACACCTGAAAGAACCTAAGAAGGCTTAACTGAAAGTGGGTCAAATACGGAACCTTCTCACTAAAAAAAACACAACTTAAAGAGGCTAAGGAACCTAAGGACGGCTGGGAACCGGACGGAACTCCCATCACAAATACCCAACGTGCTTCTCGTGGCTATGCCCATGTTTCCAAGCTCTCTCGTCAACCGAGCGGAGAGTTCCGGGCGGGTTTGGGGAAGGCCCAGCCTTGAACCCAACAACAACAACAACAACAAAAACAACGGTTGGACGACTTTTTCGTGGCCCCGTAATTCCTCTCCTTCTTTACAGAGTCTTGTGGGCGGAATCGCGGCGAAACGGAATAGGAGGTCAGAAGGTCGGTAAGGAACTGAGTGTCAGTCAAAGACTCAAGAAACATGAGGAATGCAGTCTATACTCTCCTGAGTGGACTGGCTACAAAGTGTTTAAACTTTCTGGCTGCCACATTTGTTTGGTCCAACCCAAAGAAAGTGACTACTTAAAGGTGCAGCGCAGTACGTGGTTAGCAAGCCTGGGTATAGCAAACTTAGGAGACTTATAACCATTGCAAGTGGGTTGCAACCGTGGTTAGCCACTTACCTGACGTGCAATGCCCGATTCAAGCAAAGTCCATGAACTCGGGGGAGTGCATCTAGTACCAAGCCACTAGCCTCCAGACATCCCCATTCCCCCGATCCCGGTGCCTCGGCTCTGGTATCCTCCTGAAGGGCGGCCGAAACCAATGAGCTGGTTGATTCCTAGGTCCAACTGGGTTTAGTGGTTGGAATCAGACCACTCTTGGAGGGGCCAACAACCACCCACAAAGAAACTGTGGGGTTTAATATGGGGTCAACATCAAAAGTGGCCCACTCCCCATCAAGAAGCACCAGTTTTCTTCACCCCAGAGGGGGTTCTCTCAGAAATGAGATTGCTAAAACGTCATGGGATGTTCATCCCCCTTGCGGAAATTGGCAAACACAAAGGAACCAAACTCGTTGAACAACCACGAAGATGGTATCTCCAAAGATACAAGTCCAAGAAGTTAGGGAGTGAGTCACGGAGAATCGCGGAGGTCCGTCCCCCCGTTACAAGTGTGGCATTTCACGACAGTCAGTCTGAAGATGCTCTGGATTTGGAGCGACCCACCCATTCAGCCCATGTCCAACCATGGCAACAACCTACTTGGTTGTGCCTTCTTGCGGGGAGACCTAAATGGGTTTCCTGTAAATGTTTTTTTTCAACTCCACCAAAAAGGGTACCCCCAAAAACAAGAAGAGATGGTACCAACTCCCAAAAAGACAGGCCGGCGTGGTGTACCAGTGGACCTTGAAGTTTCTTGTTTTTTGGTCTTGGGGGGTGAAGCCATGACACCAAGAATCCCAAAGAACAGCCTGAGTGACCCATGAGCCGCAGGCACGCCTTACGCGAAGCAAATCAAGCAGCAAAATACATATAAGCCATCAATGAATGTGAAGAATGAACCGCCTCAACCGTGGTGGATAATTATTGAATCCTACATGATTTTCACCAAGTCCCTCAAATTTCATGCCAGTGTCGCAGAAGGGACCCATTTGAGCAGTGAAAAAACCCTGTTACCCGTAAAGGAAATTACTCCAGCTTCCGCAATAGCTTGCGGAAAGCTTCCGCCAACCGAAAGGTCGCTTACGCTTGCTATTTTTCGAAGATGGAGCTTACGCATAGCTTACGAAAAGTTGCTCGTGCCTGATCCCCCGTGAGCAAGAGGCGCTAGCATGACCAAGCAACAGCCTGCAGATGGAAAGGCTGCTGCACAGGCCCAGCAAGACAATGGAGGGCCAAAAGCTGAAAACAGACTTTCGGGGCACGAAAAGTTTTTCTGCAGAAAGCGCGCGGAACCTCTGCGAGCAAGAGGCGCCAGCAGGACAGAGCAACAACTCGCCTGGAAAGGCGCAAAGGCTTTGCTGCACAGGCTCAGCAGTGACATGGAGGGTAAAACGTTCGGGACCCGAAAAGTTGTTTTCTGCGAGGATCCACCACGAGCAAGGCGTCAGCATGACAGAGCAACAGCTTGCATGGAAAGGTGCAAAGGCTTTGCTGCGCAAGCTCAGTTGAACCCGGGCCTGCCGCATGCGAAGCGGGTGTGATACCACTACACCATGTGATCCTGACGTTGCTGGTGTTGAAGCTTTCACGGCCAGAGAGGGGCAACAGCTCAAGAAAACTTTGCAGACAGCGCACGGGCGCTGCGAGCAAGAGGTGCCAGCACGGCAGAACAACAGCTTGCAGATGGAATGCTGCATAGGCTCAGCAATGATGCTGGAGGGCCAAACGGAAAAAAACTTTCGGGGCCCGAAAAGGTTTTTTTCTGCAGAAAGCACGCGGGTCCTCTGAGCAAGAGGCGCCAGCACGACAGAGCAACAACTCGGATGGAAAGGCCCCAAAAACAACTTTCGGCTCGAAAAGTTTTTTCCAGTCCGCAAGCTTTTTTGGGCTTCAGGGCCCTGAAAAGTGCCTGCAGGTGGCAAAAGGTGCCTCGCAACCAAAAAAAACTTTTCTGGCCTCGAAAAGTTGTTTTGTGCTTTCCAAGCCCGAGGCCCAAAGGTGAAAAGGCAAAGCCGCAGCAAAACAAGCCCGGGGCTCAACATGTTGTTTTCCAAGCCCGCTCAACGAAAAAGGTGAGGTGCCAAAACAAAGCTCGAAAAGTTGTTTTCCAAACGCGAGCCTTTTTTGTTCAAGCTGGCCAACGCGCTGTGCGTGGAACATTGCAAAAGGTTTGCACAAGCAACCCAACTGTCAAACAGCAGTTGTCTGAGCCTAAAAAAGGTGTTCACTGAAAGAATCCCTTTCCTTGTTGCTCGAAAGAACCCATTCCAGCAATCTGATCCCATTTTCACGCCTAAAAGCATTACGCGGACCAAAAGCAACTTCTACCAAACAATCTGAACGAAAAAAGGGTCTGACAAACAGAGCTTACGCAAAGCTAACGACGAGTCACTCATGCATGCAGCTTACGCAGGACCTTCCGATCGCTTACGAATCTCGCAAAAACGCTTACGGCTGCAAGAGTAATTTCCAGTTTCATCTAAATTGATCTACGGAGGTTTTTTTTCGCCGCTCATTTAATGACTGGTGATCGAAAAGAAGCGTAAGGAGAAGGGATCTAGTTTCCGACACGCCCATATGGAAAACCAATGTTCCAAATGACAACTTATTGATCCCTGGAGTCTCTATGACCCTTTAAAAATAGGTCCATGACCCCATTATTTAGGGTAATGAGCCAATTTTTCAAGGGTCATGGAGACTCTAGGTCAGGGGTTATTGACTTTCCCAGCGCCTCCACTGTAACGAGAAACACGAATCCCAGCCTGCCCTCGACTAAACCCAGCGTGGGGATCCTCGAAATTGGGATCCCTGGACAAACCATGTCCCTAACGAGCGGCCCAAAAGGCCTCGGGCGCTTCCAGGGGTGAGCCTGGCAAAGGCAAAATTATGGGAGAGGGGCAATCAGCCTCTGCTTTTAAACGAGGGAATTGTTTCCAGGTGTTCAGAACCACCGGCTGCAAATAAAAGGAGATTGTTGAATTTGGGTAAACAAAAACTGTCGAGCCAAAACGGAAAGAAAGGAACCAGCGAGCAAACAAGTGGAGTACGCCATGGCCAGAGCTGCAGTCACAAAGAAATAGCTGTCTACTGCTTCAGCCCGAAGAGATGAACGTCAAGCTGCAGCTTCTGCAGAGAAGCGGCCAGCATGCTGAGCCGGCGCATCCACATAGCGCCACAAAAGGGATGGCAAAGACAGGTGTGGAAACATGTAATTTCCGCGAGCGTGCCATATTCTTAAGACTCCAAAAGCTGGCAATTCTTTGGATGGACGAGTTCCATTTCGCACCACCCAAGAAACCCTAGAATGATGATTCCTCTGTAAATACCAACAAACGCTCTGGTGTCAACCATGGTTTCATTTCGTGGTGCCTAAGAGGACTTCGCAAACATCCACAGCATCATCGCTGAAACTCAAGGACAAAGAACTCCTCCGGCAACGCGCCTCGCAACTTCCGGCAAACGTTGGAGGGGCGTGCGCCCTCTTTCCTTGCAGCAGATTTTATACCCCACAGCCCAATGGTTGGAGGCTGGGAACTCGCAGGCGCAGGCATGGCGCATGGCGCATGGCCGGAGGGGTCCGCAACGTGGAGCAAAGGCTACGCCAAACAAACCGCAAGTTCCTGTGATCAAAGCGCTGGCAAGCCCAACGTGGCCTAGAGGGGTTTTGATCACGTGAGAAGGCCACCCGAAAAAGCCGTGAAAAAGGCGTTCAAGCCACCACAGAGTCCACATGCCTTGATGGAGTTAGACTTAGACCAAGCCCACTGACCCCCAACACACACCACCTGGGCCTGGGTGTGTGTTTTTGGAATTCATTCCCTTGAACACTTTGCAATGTAATTGGTTGACTTGACTAAGTACCATGCATGGAAGGGTCTACCAAAAATGGTGTTTGCGATGTTTCACCTGTAGGGAGGTGTTCAGCACACCTCACGCGGGGTGTGCCTTGTGACGCTCTGAAATGTTGAACAAAAAGGGGCTAGCAAGGGAACCCGGAAACCCTCTGTTTGCCATGATTTGCCAATACAGAATATAGTTGAGTATGGTCGGCACACGCGCAATATGAGTCACAATTGAACCACCCGGAATTGAACCGCAGGTTTTCGTCCTTGTTTCCATTTTCCAGGGTTCCATGTTGGGTACCTATGTTTGACCCCACAGCAATACTGTCGATGGACAAAATCCATTTCACACTACCTAAGAAACCCTGGAATGATGATTCCCCTGTAAATACCAACAAACGGTATGGTTTCAACCATAGTTTCAAATTGGTGCGAAATGGATTTCGTTCATCCACAGTATCATTTTGCACCACTTTGAAACCATGGTTGAAACCATTGTTGGCATTTACAAGCGGAATCCTCATTCCAGGGTTTCTTGGGTGGCGCGAATTGGATTTCGCAACTATCCACCGTGTGTGGCGCGTCCGCCGTGCCCCCGTGTTTTGTCAGAGGCAGAGCTCGACGGAATTTTCCGCCTCGTGCGTCGCTGGACCGGACATCGCTGCCGAGCACAGCGCCTGGCATCAGTTCTGGGCACATACGCATGGGGGAGGGTGGTCCAAATGAAAAAAATCGGCACATTCCCGGAGAAAATGCTCATGGCATCTGGGTGTACCTCAAAATTCAAGAGATGGGGCAAACCGCAGGTGTTGGTCATTGTTTCCATCCAAGGGGCTCAAAAATTGGTACCACTTTTTTGAGCCACAGCCATTCCGGCCCCTGGAAAAAATGAAACAATACGCCCAGTAGAAATTCCTTTTACAACCAGCAAGGGAAACAATCAACATATTATTAAGCAAATGGAAGACTACGGGAACGTGGGATGCCAACGCAATATTGCAAGCGGGACATGAGGAAGCCTGGCTTGTCTGCCGCAATTCACCAGGCGTAGATCCCAAGTGAATCCCAAAGGACTTAAATCCAATCCTCTTAGTGAGGGGCAAAAGCTGTCGGACACCCGTCTGAATGTGCTCTTGATGTTTCTCTGTTTCACTAGTTGCAGCTGAGCTTCCCCTGCCAGGGAAATAAAATCGATGCGGAGCCGGCGCGCGAAGCTAAGTTTGGCATGGTGACATAATTCTGGGCGAATTGTAATATTTCACCCACTGAAATAAGGTGGTTGGGGGGCTACTTCCTACATAAACCACCACTTAGGGTGAATTCGGTCGTGTGAGGTCGTTATAGTTCTCCCAGATCATTGCCAGAGGCCGATTCCGAGGAAAAGGAAAGGCGCTTCTGGAATCTCAAGACCTCTGGAGATTTCTTGGAAGCTTTCGGGCTGGGGGAGGTCCTCAGTCTCTCTCTATCTCTTTCTCTCTCCCCCTCTCTTCTAAGCCTCCTTTTGGGAATTTCCCAAAAGGAGACTCATGACGGCAAAATGTGGCTGCCATGTTGCAGAACTTGAAGACCTGACCCGACTTTCAAAACTTTTCCAGACCGATCAAGAAAAGACAACACATCACGGCATGACAGACCAAAAAGGTCGGCCTCCAAAGAAAGTTGAAAAAAGGCACCGCACCCCACCTAGGTCCTCCAGTGGAGAGGTTAGAATAAGGGCACCAACTTTTGTCTGTAGTCTATTTTAGTAAGGAAACCCTCCCCCAAAAAAGGGCAAAAGGGCACTACTGGGGCGTAGCCACTGCTCCAAGAACAGAACAACAAACCTTGGGAGTCAATTCTGGTGCTGAAATCTTCAAATCGGTTTTTGGTGTGTACTGCACATGTCCTTTTGGTAACATAGATGGGTTCCCTGGTAAATGGATGGCATAAAACCGATCTAAACCAGTGGCTTGCCCATCCATTTCTATCCAACCTGAAATCCTGGCGAATGGAATCAAAAAACAACCGAGAAAACAAAAACCCATCAAAACTAGGTTCTCCAGATTTGAGAGGTTAGACTACGGGTACCAACTTGTTTCCGTCGTCTATTTTAGTAGGGCAACCCTCCCAACCAGAAAAGTAACGGCGAGAAAGGGCACCAATTGCTGGGGGACCTCGAAAAGGACACCTATGTCCGGAGGTCAAAACCCCATTCCCCCAGTGAACATCCCAATCCAACCACTAATAAAATAGGTTCTAAAATGGGTGGTGATTTCACCCAGCCCAAAATACTGTGGATGGACGAAATCATGCACCACCTCAGAAACTCTGGAACCCTGTAAATACCAACAAACAATGGTTTCCCCTAGTTTCCAAGTGCTGCTGGATTTCGTCCATCCACAGTACCAATGGTTTTGACCCACAGCCAACCGATGTCCGGAGGTCAAGTCAGCCGCCTGCTGAGGTGCCGCTGGGTGAGGCAAGGGTTTCAGGCCTCAAGGGCCTCAGAGCGAATGCAGTAAGCTCTGGTTCTCAGGATGCCTTGGTTGCTGCAACGACCCCCCTGCAAAAAGTCGAACTTGTCTGGGGTGTGGTGGAAAACCCAACTTGATTTCAACCAAAAAGTTGAAGTCTAAAGATCCGTTGCCCAATAGCAGTCAAGATGCAAGCGCACCAACTCAGCTTCCCTCTACTGGACTGACCATTTTCTGATCCGCTGCTAAAAGTGAATTGATTGGGTGCAAGGTGGGAGGGGTCGGAGGGGGGGGGTCAAATCCAAATGTTCATTCAGAATGACTTGTGGGTGAAATGGTTGCTAGCCACTTGCTAAGTACAATACCCCTTTCAGTAAGGGTCCCACTTCTTGGATCCGTTTTTGCTCATATGGCCACAGCTGTGAGCAAGCTGTCAAGGGACCAGGTCTCACGTCGACTAGCTCGCCAACGAAAAGGAATTAGAATGTTGACCCCGGATCAATAAACTTCGGTTTTTTAATGTGGGGGTGTTCCCTCTAAAAGTGATGAATCCCCACTAAAACCAGAAACACCCCATATTAATAAATAGGGGTTTATTACTCCGGGGTCAACATTACTTTGGGTTTACCACTAAAGTTGCCCAAGCACAACAAGTCCTTCAAGTCCAGGAACTCAAGAAGTGAGGGTGAGTTCCATGTTAGTTCTGGACAAGTTACCATTCAGCCGGAAATCAGGACGAGTCCAAGGGACCCGCATCTGTGGTCAGTTCTTCCCCCGAACCGGTGAGCTCGCCACGTACTGGCCCCATGTTGCCACTGTCAAAAGTCACCCCCGTTACAATGGAAGGTAAAGAATCAACCCCAGCTTCCGACTTTGACAACCCCCAGACAATGTCGAAATGGGCCTGTCTTTCTTGAGGCTACCCTTTTTGGTGGCTTTGCTTCTTCTGGGAAACCAAAAGGAAACCAATCAATTGTTTGGGGTCCGGTTCCCAAAAAGGGGACAAACCCAAATACTCAAACCCTTTTTGGTTGGTTTAACAGGGAAACCAAAAGGAAAACAAAGAAATGTTTTGGGGTCCGGTTCCCATAAAAAGGGGACAGACCCAAATAATGATCCCAGTAAAATTATAGGTCCTCCAGTAGAGAGGTTGGAATAAGGGAATAAGGGAACCCTCCCCCCGAAAAAGAAACGGTAAAAGGGCACCTAGCTGGGGGACCTTACTGGACTGACCATTTGCTAAAAGTGATTGATTTGTAAGCGAAATGGACAAGCGCCCCTCCCGGATGCTTTTTGGGGCCGCGGCTGCGGCCTTTGTCGCAGCTGCTGCTCCGGCGCCTGACCAAAGGCAAGCAAAAAGAGGCCACCGCTGGACGGTGAAAAACCTGAGTACCTGGAGTCTCCTCCTGACTAATAGAGAAAATGGTTGGTCATTACCCCAAAACAATGGTTGGTCATGGAGCTATTTTTAAAGGGTCATGGAGACTCCAGGTCACTAGAGGTAGACTGTTGCAATGGAATTGTAAGACAAGAGGGGGAGAAGGACATACCAGTGACATACCCGAATCCTCCAAACAAATCTAGCTACAAAATGGGTTGCAGCCACCCAAAATCATGGTTGGTGAATTGAATCCTCAAAATTCCAACTAACAAAAAATTGGATTGTAGCAACCCAGAATTATGGCAGGGGTGAATCCCAACTTGTACTTCTGGGTTCCAGGCTGTTCCAGGTATGCCTTTGAGCATTGCCAGCGACTTAAGCTGAGCCAATGGGTTTCTTTAGCTCCGAGAAGGGTATCGTTGACGAGGACAGGAGGACCAACAAAGCGAGACCCAAGGCGCACAAGTCAACACCCGGAGTCTCCATGACCCATGGAGAAAATGGTTGATCATTACCCTAATGGGGTCATGGACCAGTTTTTGATTCGGGTCATGGAGACTCCAGGCAGAGATCGGATTGATCTGGAGATCCAGCCCAAGTGAGTCATAACAAAAACCTCAGCAGTGGTGACCCCAAAGCCAAGGAGGACAGGCCTACGTAGGTGTGCTTCTAGGGCAAATCGATGGCCCTGGTAGATTCGATGAAACCACCATGTAAACCAGGAATCGCCCTCCATTTTCCCACCAAAGCAACCAAGACGGACACATCCATGCGCACCGATTTTGTTATGCTTGGGAGTGTCCCTAAGCTCTGACTCGAATCGGCTTTGAGCAAGTGGATCGAGACGTGGTGGATGAACTTTCGACCCCGGAGATTCGAGAGAAACCAACATCTCGTTGTTGGTTCACACCAAAAACGGGGACCCAACTTGGTTGACGTTGAAAGGGGAGCAAACATTCTGAAATGTTAGCGGTTAGGTGGTTGGATTTCAACCACTAACCCACAGTAAGCAAAAATGGGAAACATGGTTCCCAACAACAACCATGCCAAACACCCCCCTCCCAAACACACTTTATTGGGAAAGACTCAAGTAGACCATTTGTTGGAGGTGTGCTTGGGGGGTCCTAGACGTTTCACGATTGATGCTTCCGACGTGTAAGCGGTGCTTGCATTAAGCATGCTTGGCTCTCCTTGCTATTTGCGGCCAAAGATGGATTGAGTCCTCCGCAGTTTACCAAGTGCCACACGCATTCTGTTGGCGAAAACATCCTCTTGACCGATTCACCAACCAGCTTGGCTCCCCAGGCATTTATTAAAATACATGATGCTCTTGTTTGTTTCCTGTTATGATTCTACGTGTATGATAGACACACACACACACACACATGCGGTTGTGTGTGTCACCCTGATTTGCTTCTAGTTTTGCAACCTGCTTGGCAGTTTGACTTCGTTGCATGTTTGAGTCCGAAGAAAAGTGTGGTTTTATAGGGGCCTGGAACCCGGAGCGCGGGCAGACCTCAAAGCTTTCTGGAAGAATTGTCCAAAACGGAGACATGGGTGCATCGCTTTTTGGGAAACGGACCCATGCATTTCGGTTCTTGGTCTCCCGGCAAAAAGATACCAAAAGGGAGACTCCTCCAACAAACACAAATCATATTTCATTTGTATTATCCCGAACATTACCCCAAAGCTGGTCTGCTCATCTGGTGGCACAGGCTTAGCTTGATTGGCCAACGCGTATCCTTCAAGGAGCCCTGATTTATGTTGGCACCAGATTCATAGAGCCTGGTTGACAAGGGGGTCTCCAACAAGCTGGTGGAAATCCACCATTGCGGCCAGGATGGACGAATCCTCACGAAGAAACCCTGCTTTCCGATGATTGCCCTGTACCAACACACCATATGGTTTCAACAATGTGTTTTTAAATGGCGCGAAAATGGATTTCGCAACCATCCACAGAAGGATGGGGTGTACTCCGATCCATTTATCACACCTTCTTGGAGTCTCCACGTCCCTTAAACAATGTGGTCATTACCATAAATAATTGGGTCATGGACCCATTTTTAAAGGGTCATGGAGACTCCAGGTTGTGCTTTGGCGACCCTTTTTTTTGCAGTCCGCCTCGCGGCTCGCTTCCCGGCTGGCCTTGGCAACACCAACCAAGGCCTCCGAAGGGTCGAAACTGTGAACCTGATTGGATAATTTCGGATTGTAGGCGACCAACTCAGCTAGGTCCTCCAGATTTGAGAGGTTAGAATAAGGCTACAAACTTTTTGCTCTGTCGTCTATTTTAGTAGGGGAACCCTCCCAAAAAAAAAGGTGAGAAAGGGCACTACTGGGGGACATAGGCTATTTGCCTTTGGGCTTTCAAGGGTGCCAAGCCCTTGGTTACCTGCGGATGGTCGCGCAATCCATTGCGCACGAAATGCAGCCACGGTTGCAACCATTGGTTGGTTGGTAAATGCCCAACTAATGAGCTAATGCTGACGACCGAGCGCTTTTATGAGCGGAGTGTACGCCTCGCGATGCGTGAGCATCTTTGATTTTCACCCCAGAGCAGCATCTCATTATTGGCAGGAAGCACGGCACTAGGCTCCAAAGCTGATCTTGCACCTTGCCCTTCGTCGGGAAACACGAACATCATGTCTCGTCCCACAGAACAATGATAAGCATGTCTCATCCCAACCGTTTCGCGGATATTGCACTGGACAAGGTAGAATACTCCACCTCAGCAATGGCGTGGCCAGAACACACATCTCACACGGCTTCGGTTTTCCTTTTGGCCCTTTAAAACCACACAAGACAGGTATCCTAAAAACAAATGGACCCAGCTATGATTAGGGTAATGACCAACCATTTTTCAAGGGTCAGAAGGAGACTCTAAGTACTTTGACGAGCCACACCCAACATGTCATCCACCTGGAGTCTCCATGACCCTTTAAAAATGGGTTCACTACCCAGGGATTATGACCCCTTTTTCCAGGCGTCAGAAGGAGACTCTAGCATAGGTGTCTTTTTGGTTGCTTTGCTCGGAAAATGGATGGCGACTCTAGGGGTCAGAAGGAGACTCTAGGAACACAGACTTGCGAACGCTCCACTGAGCCAGTGGCGTCTCGCCGCGTGCTCAGCACGCTGGCTTCCATTGATCCAGCCTCGAGGCGTCCATTTTTTGGCGCCCAAGTGCTTTCCCTTTGTTCAAGACAGTCCTAAATGCGTCTGCCTAGGGACAGCCCACCAGTGGTTCCAAACAAGACTCTTACTCTCAATCGATGATTCTTCAGTTTCGGACTCGTGGATTTGACGATTTGAGCTCACGTCCGATGGAGTGGATTGGCCAAAAGAAGCCGAGCTTTTGGATAGAAACTTCTAGGGGCCAAACAAAAAGGCCCTCCTTTTGGGGTAGAAGGTCCTGAGCCTTCGGAACGGCGCCAAACAATGTTCAAAGTGTTTGTTTGCCACTAAACTAATCCAGACCCCGAAAAGTGATTAGATGACTTCGCTCTCACGGAACATCACTTTCCGCTACAGAACCCCTCGGTCGTGACCAAAACTGAAGTTCCTTTTCGAAACTCAGGAAGCGAGTGGCCTCATTTTCCCGTGGCACCGCGTGGAGAAGACCACCTTCTCGGGATCTTCCGGGTCCATGTCGCATGGCTACTCCTTCGAGCCGAAAATTCGCCTGGAGGGCACCTGAAAGAGAAGTTTCCTCTTGCGGAAAGCCCCTGGCGTCATGTTAGGCGTGGGGGTACTTGAAGGGGCGATCGAGTAGGAAGTGGTTAGGAAGCGTCAGGGGAGATCGATTCGGCACGTCAGGTAAGTGGGTAGTAACCCTGCTTATAATCCACTGAGCGGATACTTATTTCAGCATGGCTTTTGTGGGATATCTCACCATCTTTAAGACCCACTTACCTGACGTACCGAATCGATCACCCCTTTAAATAGAGGAACATGAGACCCCGCTGTTCGCATCATTTCAATGGGAAACGAACAAAAGAGAAACCAACTCTTCCGGTTGTCCCGAATGAGTGCCAAACAGCTGCCAACTCTTGGTAGGTCGAAAGTGCGAGGTGTGGGTGAGTCTTTTTGGAGTTGGTAATTACCGCTTTTTTGTGGTTTGAAAGGGAACAAGCGGAAGAACTATCCTTTTTGGGGGTCCGATCCTGAAAAATGAAGAGATACCCTTGCGTCTCCGGCATCTAAGGCGCAGGGCAATGGCGGCACGCGCCGCGCGATGCAGGCGAATGGTCTGAGGGAGAGGCAATGTCCGGGGAGGGGCCCGGGGTTCTACTTTTTGACTACCCCACAATAGACTTCAACCCAGAATTGGTTCATTCCCCCAAGAAGGACAACTGTTACGCCTATCTTGGCTGGTCAGAAAGTGGATCCAGAGGGCAGTTTCCCTCACTGTTGATTGGCCAAATGCTACGCTTGTTGTTCTGTCCGTTTTCTGATCCCCTGCTCAAAGTGAATAACTGTTCGTGGGTTAAATGGAAACCCAACCACTAAACCCTAGGAACCTTAATGCCTAAGGGGATGGGAACCGCCAAGTGTTTACCACTAATCAAAAAAGTGCCCAGAAAACTGGGAAGTAAGTTAGCGTTCCCGAACATTGGGACTCCAAACGAAGCCCCTGAATATTGTTGTGGAGCTATTTGTGGAGTTGTCTAAAACGGCAATGAAGAGAAAACACCATAGAGAACCAAAGAGATCCACGCAGAAAGCCAACAAATGCCATCTGCAGGCAATGCATTCAACATAGTGTCGACGTTGGACTTATGCGGACCGTACTGAGTTAATGGGTGGAAATAACATGATTTTAGGATAACGCCACGGAATAGTATGGTACTCCGGACGATTCAGAAGTGAGAATGAGCTTGTTGCCCCAGTGACCTTTGAATTCAAACAAAAAACAAATTCAACAGAGGAACCCACTGAGCAACTACTCCCGCACCATTGCGGGGGTGCTTGTTTCTCCTCCTTTAAACATTCCCGAAAGGAATCCCTCATGGCGAAGGGGAACCCAACGGATTACAAGTGATAGCTTCTGCGCCAGTCAGGGTAAAGAGGCCAAGACCTCCTTCCTCGCTCGTGGCTTGCCCGCGTCCCTCCTGTGGCTTCGTCATTAGAGCAGCGCATCGGCACGAGCGCCATGGCGAAGAGCGGTTGCTGCTGTTGCGTGGCGATGACGGGGCCGTGGCGGGCCGTGGCGGGCCGTGGCGGAGCTCAACGTTGCACATGACAACTTTGGCTTAAGTGCCGCCGCATCTGTCAGCCAATTGGAGCCTTTGACTGAGCTCGATGTACAAGAGGCCGGAAAGCCGCGCCTCTGGCTCGGACATCACCTTTACCTATAGTCTCCTTCTGACCCCTAGAAAAAGGGGTCATAACGCCTTAATTTTGGGTAATGACCCCATTGTAAAAAGGTCATGCAAACTCCAGGTACCAACTGGTGCAAAGTGGATGTCTTTTTTTGTGCAGAGGAAGTGCCCTGTTTGAGTCATGCACCCCAAAAAAACAGACCCACCAAGCTTGGTATCTGCCGGAAACCGACACCGACGTGCCCAAAACAACGAGAACATGACCCTTATCAAAAATCAGGTCCATGACCAACCATTGTTTCGGGTAATGACCAACCATTTTTCAAGGGTCAGAAGGAGACTGTAGGTAGTCGGACGTGGTTGGTTCGCCCAGTTGGTTCGCTCATTAAAACCGACACCGATGTGCCCCAAAAAAACGAGAACCTCAATTCTCCATGACCCTCATTATTTCGGGTAGTGACCAACCATCTTCTCCAAGGGTCGGAAGGAGACTCTAGGTACCCATAATAAAAGGAATTCACCAACCATAATTTCAGGTTTCTGTAACCCATGTTTAAGGGGTATTTTGAGGGTTCAGGAACACCAAAACGTCCCCCGCAGCAAGAAACAAACGCACGAACGGGGCCGCCCGGGCCATGAGGTGCTCCTGTTGAAGCTCTGCTAGGAGCTGCGCCTGCGGATCGATGAAACTCGCGAATCGGTCTGCAAGTGTTACTATATTCCATTTGGATTCAAAACGAGCTGGGGCCTTCAAACTGACAAGAACCTATGGACTGAGCAGTTCAAAACTGGGCTATCCTCAGATCCGCCGCTAAAAGATGCTAAAAGTCTTTAACTTTTAGTGGGTTGCATGGATATCCCCACTAAACACTCCAAAACTAAAAGGCTAAGGGGATGGCTGGGAGCTTGCTACCTGGAGTCTCCATGACACAAGCTGGCATCTCGTCATGTTTCTCGAAATCGGGCCAAAAGAAGATGGTTATTCCCCTTATTCCCTTTCAACCCATCTCCTTCTGGCCCGAATCAAAAATAGGTCCGTGACCAAATATTATTTAGGGGAATGACAAACCAATTTTCAAGGGGCATGAAGACTCTAGGTATATTACTTGGGGATATCAGTTTGTGAATAAATCCTAAATCATGGGTCATGAGTCATGAACCTAGTTTTAAAGCGTCATGGAGACTCCAGGTATATGTCCAAAAGCTGAATGCAGCATCAGATCCCCAAGTACAGGAGCGTGTTCGTGGTGAGCTTGCCTTACAAATAATTCGCCAGCTCTACGCGTGGGTACAAGGGTTCAACCCCGAGGACTTTGTTGTATGCGGGGAAGAATGTTCAACTCCAAACCTAGGATGTAAATACTGTGGATACCACCTGAGAAACCTTAGAACGATGATCCCCCTGTAAATACCAACAAACAATATCATGGTTTCCCATACTTGGTGCAGGAGTTCGTCCATCCACAGTATGTCATCATTGTCCGCCAAAATGTCCCAAATGTCACCAATCGTTGACCCAGTATGATGGTCATGGCGCCCTTAATCCTATCGTTGTAGTCCTTGTTGTCGCCATTGAACCTCCATCTTAGTGGCATCTCGGTCTAGCCAATGCCATGTCATATGCCTACAATAGACGGGTATGTGTGTGTGTGCGGCTATGTTTGAGGGTTCCCCTTTTTGGTGGGCAAATTATTTTTCATCATACAATTTATCATGATGTCTTTGATTTTTTTGAGTGTGTGTTTTTGAGGGTACCCCTTTTCGTTTGGCTTTAAGAGGAAACTACAAGGACAACCCACCTTTATTTTTGTTGAGGGGGGGTCCAAAAAAACCTCTTGGCCGCCCCAAAAGGCGCTCGCTTGAGAACCATGGCGCTTCAGGAGAGCCAGAAACAGCCTGGTGACTACTGGCCCTAAGGAAAGTTAGACCTAATAGTACGCAGAAAGGAAAGATAAAACAGCATAAAGAGATGGAAATGTATTCGGTGAGCACAACGGAATAATAAACACAATAGGTCAAAGAAAAGGAACCAATATGTCATTTCTATTGAATATCCTGTACAAACCGGGCCGCGGGTTTCTGGCGCCTGTTGGCGCCTGGTGGCTGCCGGCTCTCTGGGCACCTGCCTGGGTGTTTGAGGCGCCCGGTTATCTCCTGGCGTTTTGGTCGCCAGGTGGCCGGTGGTTTTGGCGCCCGCTCCGGGGGGAGGGCCGCTTCGGTGTTTTTGCGGTGAGGGCGGTGTTGCCAGCGCCTCGCGGGCCGCGCGTTTTTCGGAAATACAAAGTGCTGAAGGAAACTCAGGTAGACAGAAGGAAGGACTAAGAGAAAGAAAGGGAAGGGAAGGGAAGGGAAGGGGAGAGAAGGAAACAGAAGGGAAGAAACGAAAGCAAAGGAAGCAGGGAGAAAGGCCGGAAGGAAGGGAAGGGAGCAATAGAAGGACGGAAGAGCAAGGAGCAGGGGAGTAAGGGAGTAGGGCGGGTTGGTTAACCAACGTGCAATCTGAGAGCAAACTGCAGTGTACATCCCGTGTGCAATGTGTGGCAGTCATGGACAAATTAGACTGACGAACGCTGCTCTGAGAAGGTCACGCGAAAGACTGCTGGAAAGCGCATGCGGAGGCTGAAGCAGAAAACAAAGGACTGTCTGCACATGCGCGCTCTGTGGTTCATTTTTTTTTTTACTAGACACTGATTATCCCGAAAGCCTACTGCATCAACGTGGCTGTCGACGCAAGCCCAGCGCTGTGCAAAGCAGAGCTGTGCAGAGCAGAGCCGCGCACAGCAAAGCTGTTCACTGAGTCGCCAAACTGCTTGGTTGCCACCAAACTCGGTCCCCAAAAAGTTATTTGAAGTCCAGGAACTCCGATAAAAAAAATGCATTAAAAACAAAGCTCTTCCGCGAGGCAGGCGCCATCTCGATCGATCCTCTGACCCCCATGGCGATACCATGACGACCCCGCCTCGCGGAGGTGCGCCGGAGCCTGCCGAAGGAGTCCCAGCGACCGGTTTCAAGGTGGTGAACATCTGTGGAGTCACCAACCCGTTGGATGTGAAAAAAAGAGGCGTGAAAAACTACTAAACATAGTTTGTTTTTCATTTTTTAGAGGATCGAGTTCTAAAAAACTACAAAAAACAAGCTACAGGGGCAAGCACCGGTGAAATATCCACGCAACAGCCACAACTCCGAACTGTTTGGCTAAAACTGTAAACTCGCTGGTTAGGTAAGGAATGAGTTGGACCCCCCCCCCCCTCCTGAACCATAACCAGGGATCCTTTCAGAGAAGGGAACGAGATCGAACGGCGGGGGTTTGAAAGGAACGCTTACTGTATTTGCTAGTTCTCAGCGTATGAGTTGGAATAGCCCCCGAACTGAACTATTCAACTCGTTCCTAGGGGATCCCCTTCGGGTCATGCAAAACAACCCTCAATCGATGCTCTGAGAATCAGCATGCACTGTGGAGAATAGCTTCAACCAATCTTGGCCATCGTTCATCCAAGCCTGGGGTTTAACATATTTACTAGTATTTAGCCAGGGGCAAACATGGCAAATATTATTGAACTTTGCGGTGCCCAACAAAAAAATGAATAGTTCCGGTGGGTGTCTTGAAGAAGGGGTAGCCAAAAGCTGGTTCTTTCCCTTTCGTTTCCCTTTAAATCCACTGCACCAAGGGCAATTCACCCATATGTGAACTCGATCTGGTTGCACATCATTACCAACTAGGTCCTCCAGTAGAGAGGTTAGAACAAGGGTACCCTTTTTCTTCTCTCGTCTATTTTAGTAGGGGGGCCTCCCCCCAAAATTCCTTGGTGAGAAAGGGCACTACTGGGTGACCTAGTAGTTGCACATCACCCAAATCCCATTTGCCCGCAAGAAAGGACTCACCCACACCCCCCCCCCTCCCCAATCCACCCGCCCCCACCCCCCACCCACCCGCCCAGCCCCCCAAGAAAGGAATCCCCACCCCCCTCCCCCCCCCAACCCAAACCCACACCCCCCACCCACCCCCGCACCAGCCGAACCTCGAAGGCGTCCTCCAAGTCCCGCCGCTCCCGCGCGAGACCCGGCCTGGGCAGCTCGATTTTGGGTGCTATCGAACGAAGAACGCCGCTCACACGAGAAATGTTTATTTAGAAAAAGGGGGGTATATTCAAGAAATGCCTATTTAGAAGGAAATGGCGGGCCCCACCCATTTCAGGTTGGGAATCCCCCCAATTTTGGATTTCGCTTGTCCTTATGGCGTGTCAAGAAAAAAAAGGCACCGCCGAGGAAACAAAAACACACAGACCCACATTTTGGTACTATGTTTTGGTACTTGGATGTACGACTCGACAAGTTAGTATGTGCATAGCCAACTGGGGTTCTTCACCCCCTACGTAATGGCAAGGTAAGCTGCACTGAACGGGGAAATTATAAGTGGGTTTTCCCTAGGCTACCAACAACTTCCTAACTTGGCCGAACACCAAGTAGCTCGTTTCCTTTGGCTACCTATGACAATAAGCATGATCGTGCAAGAGGGAAAAACCAACAAGCTAAAGGGACAATTCCTGGCACTTCGGCCCAAGCTGCCAGGATTTCAGGGGAACCACCCTGCCCGACGTTGCGTTTTTATGGAGTCAGACGCCGCCAGTTTTACCATGCTCACGAGTCACGACTCCCAAGGCTCTTCCTCTGGCCCTCATCTCCCGATTGCATGGCCCACGAAAAGCCCAAACTGTTCGTATGCCACCGAAATGGTCCAAGCCCAAAAAGTGCCCAACGTCCGTTTTCTCAGGAAGCAAGCCGATGATTCTGCAAAGAAGCCTAGACCATGAATGATGACCATAGCTTCGCAATGTGCCACGAAAAGGAACACATCGGGCAAACACTGAACACTTGATCGGGACCAGCCAAAAACCTCACAGTGCATTGTCTGGTTGTTGTCTACAACAAATTTACCTCCCTGAGTAAAGGGCCAGCATAGGCGAGCCACTCCGACTCGCAAACACCATCCATTTGGCTTCCATGCCCCCTGTAAAAAAAATAAAAAAATGACCAGGTCATAAATCCCCTGTAAAACCAACAAGGAGCGTCATAAATCCCCTGTAAAACCAACAAGGAGAAAAAACACACAGTTTAGCACCATGAAAGTGGGTTGTCCTAAACCAGGCAAGCCTTTCGGCTTTCAACCCTCCAACATCCGGGCTTTACGTGATCCCGGGGGCTTTTGGCCGGACTGCTTGGAAGGAGTCGGATGAAGTGCGGAATGGAGAGACAGAAGGTGCATCTGGTACTCGTCATATCATGAGACTTCTCTTGATTTCCCTTGAAATCAGCTTTTAAACCGGGTACCAACTCCAAAAACTACCACCTCGAGCACTCCGCTGGAGTGCAGGTCATCTATCAGCTACCAGCTACCAGCTTCCGAGCAGGGACCCGCACTCGGAGAAGATGGGCCGCTGGTCGCCTGGTGAGTTACTCCCAAACTGCTTTTGCCAGGCCCATGAGGTTGGGCGGTGAGGGTGGGGGTGGGGGTGGGCGGATTTGGTGGTTTTGGTGGGGATGGTAGCTGGCACAACTCCCGTTTTGTCGGGGGTGGGGGGTAGTTTAAACAAAACTTCCGTCCCGGGAATCTGAGTCCAGCTTTCTGTCCTGGCAAGGCCTGCTCTGAGCGGGAGCTGGCACAATTCCCTTGTTAATTGCATTTATGCGCGTGAGTAAAAGCACCGCAAGGGGCAAGTCGGCAAATGACACTCCATTTATGTCCACTAGACCGACATGTGGAGGTTGTGCCATCTACTTTCACCCAACTGCAAGCCTCGATCTCCCATAGACCTGATCAGCATGCCGGCCTCCCGCTCCTTCCAAGGACCTGAGCTGCTCCTGCAGCAGCCGCATCCTTGCGCAGGATGTTTTTTGTTCTTTCTCAATTCGGAGGAACTGAAAATCGAATGACATAGGCGTCCTTTTCGGGGAAATAGATGGATTTCCCTGGTAGATGAGAAAAACACCCACCAAATAAACCAGGAATCGCCATCCATTTTTCGACCGAAACAACCAAAAAGGACACCTATGACAGATGACCTTTTCCCCGAGAAGCCCCAGGAATCTGCTCCCAGAGGGTCCCGGACGGTACCTCATGAGGATGGCTAAAGAGGGGGGTGTGCACTCTACCCTCTGACTTTGTAGAAACTCACTGGCTGAGTGGATGGCCCAAAAAAAGTCCAAACTTTATATTTACCAGTAAAATGGTCTTCCCAAAACGTTTAAAGTTCATGAACTCAGGAAGTCAGGAAATCCCCTCAGGTCTGCCTGGAAGGGGCAGCAAACTGCGAGTCACCTCGGACCCTTTGGACTCAGGTCCTGTGATCCAGCAGAACTCACCACCTAAAAAGTATCCGGGACCAAACGCGCCCATCCAGCGTGACGGGCAAGATGATCCTATAGCAGTTGCTTCGCCTTCCGGACCGGCATCAGCGGATGCAGCCAGGTAGGGTCGGAAGCGAGTCGCAAGGCGTCGCGAGGATGCTGAGAGGTGAAACAAAACCTTCTGTGAAGCTTCAACAATGGCTCTGCATTTCTTTAGCGAACCCCCACACCCGAATGGGTGTTTGGAGTCTCCACAACTCAAAAAAAGGGGGCATCACCCAAAATTATTGTTGGTCATGGACCCATTTTTGATTCGGGTCAGAAGGAGACTCCAGGTGTTTCCTTCTTCAGCCAACAAGGGGGTATGTGGTACCACCTCAAAGAAGACGAGCCATCCAAATGAGAAGCTCGGCTTTACAACCACCTTCCAAGGCCGCAGGTGCTGAGAAAAACCTTCTGGGTGAGCGGGCTCCAAGCGCGTCTCATTGCCCTGTCTCGGAAAAGTTTCCGGCGCGGGGACACCAGTGCACTGCTTCTAGGTCCTCCAGAGAGGTCAGAATAAGGCTACCCACTTTTATCTGTATATGTTAGGGGGTTCCTCCCAACCAAAAAAGAATCGGTGAGAAAGGGTACCAATTGCTGGGGGACCTAGGCTTCAAATCAGCTTTTCCCTGACCACGTCAGCTTGCAGCTTGCTTTGCTTCTGCAGGTGAGCGACCCAGCCGGTTCCTGCTTCCGTGTTGCAGAATTGCGAGGGAACAACAGTGCTCTTTCATCGCTCCTCCCTCTTGGATGCAATAGAATTTGACCAACCGGAAGTATGGAACTTGCAGGACTGGAATCTTCATGCGGGGTGGGGCTGCCAACCATCTGAAAGTGAGGTGATAGTTAGATTACGGATGCAAATGCAGCAAGCAAACTATCCACGTGCAGTATGTGCTATGGTCAAACCGCCTATGGTCTGTGGTCCTGGTTCCCTAAGTAGGAATCATTCTGCTTATTCATGATCCTTACTACCAGGTGGACCATCCCAACGTCAAACCCCGGTCTTTTGACACTATGACACATATTAGTTTTTGTTGTCGGAGTTAGCTTTTTAACGGACGGCTGAAACGCAACAAAAAAAGCCGCCCCCCCCCCCAAAAAAAAAAAAAAAAAAAACGGACATGCCAAAAACCGCTGGGCCGCAGGCTTGTTCACCGCCTCCTGCGCACCTAGCCGGAGCGCCGCCCACCCCGCTTGGCGGGGCTATGGCGTGGGGAGCGGTGATCCCTTGTTAACCCCTTGACAAGACCTGGGCTTCTCCTCGGCTTATGTTGGGCTTCACCAGGGATAGCCCCCGGCCCCCCCCCATAGCCCCTAAAGATCCATGACAGAGGGGCTGACCGAGGATAATTCTTCAAGCACAGCATTCATTGCAAATGGAGACACGCAACTTCTTGAGAACCCCTCGAATGCTTTACCGCGATTGCACTGGGCTGTCCGTTTTCAGATCTGCTCAAAGTCTGCATCTTTTGTGGCATGGTGGAAACTACCACTGCAACAACCAAAATCGTCTAAAAATCCAAAGGAACCAAATGGCTGGGAAGCGCCAAGAGTAGAACCCGGCGCTTTGTCCTTTCTGAGTTACTGCGCCAAGGGCCTCGGTCTGTTGTCTCGTTCAGATGTACGCGCAAATGTCTCGCAATGGAGATGTCTGTTTGCGAGCGTGCTTCAAATGCTACAGAACCTCACGAACCCAATCGGACCGATCGGGAATCACATTGACAGACACCCTGACCACTGATGCCCTCGTTCAATTTTGGAGGAGGTTTGGACTGGTTCACCCAGCAACGAAACGAGTGGGGACTGGGCTGAATTGGAGCCGCAGGCCTCCCAGACACGTTTCCGCGCCCTTCTCTCCCAGCCTGCAGAGGCCGTGGAAATGTCCGAGGCACCTCGCGCGTTGCGTGCAGGCGCTTGCGCTGCTTGCGCTGCTGCCTGGTTCAGACCTGTTACAATCGCTGGGTGTTGGCATAGGCGTCCTTTTGGATGAAAATCGATTCGGATCTCCCTGGAAGATGAAACAACCAGGGCAGTACCAGGAATCGCCATCGACTATCTACTAAAACAAGCAAAAAGCAAAGTGGACACCTTTGGTTGTTGAAACATCCACATTTCTTGGTCCACTTTCAATCCTAGGGCTCCAATAATATCTGTTATCTTCATTGCAAGATGGCGCTTCAAACCTTGGTTGCTTTCTGCTCCCCTGCTAAAAGTTTAGCTTTTAGTGGTTTAATGGAAAACCCATTAGTTGGCAAACAGTTATAAAGTCTTAACATCCAAGCAAAATGCACCAAAGAAACGTTGAACCAGCTTTTTGTTGGTTGCACCTCGCTTTTCCATGCCACGACCTGGTTGCTTCAGTTTGCGTGGCCAGGATTCAAACGCGGCCCAGGCTTTTGCAGGCTGCATCCTCTGACTACAAGGAGCTCATCGCAGACCCCCGAACAAGCTGCATTGTCAAGGATCCAACTTCAATTTAGACACCCTGGCCCAAACACGCACCATCCATGAGTCAAGCAACAGATTACCGCCGCGTGGTGTGTGTTTGAGTGTGTCAGCGTGGCGCGGTCGATGTGGTGCAATGAGTTGAACCTCTTGAAGAGGGCAAGCAGCGTGTCTCACTGCCTCAGTGGATGGGCCAAACAGTGCGACCAAACTTTGAATTTACCACAACAAGAAGGTCTTCCCAAAAGGTGAGTAAAGTCCAGGAACTCAGGAAGTGAGGTGTGCAAACCAGGCGTTCAGGGACATGAGCGGCGAATGGTAAATACTCAGCGAACCAACCAAACGACCTCCGGAAAATGCGCACGGGTTGGACGGCTTTACTACCACTGGGATAGCCACTTCCACGACTGCAAACGAACATATTAATTTGACAAATATGGGGGGGCGTCCTTTTTTAAGGGTACCCCTTTTGGGGGGTGGGGTTAACGGGAAACCAACAGCAGAACCGAAATGCATGTTGGAGGGTCCACCCACATGAAACGCGGAAAGTGTGAGGGCGCGAATGAAGTAGTGTCGACTTTGTTGGGGCAAACTGGCTGATAGCCAGAAAGACGGAAACACTGAACAACGGAGATCACTGAACAAATAGATGCCACACGTTCTATCTTTGTCATGCCGCTTCCTATGTGCAACAAGCAGGGAGCGAGCACTGTGTAAGCCGCTACCCTTGGTGGTTGAGCAAGAATGCTGCAAGAATCTGCCTGACTCTCCAGCTGTAGGCGAGCTGATTAAGAGCAAAGTTAAAAAACAAAAAAAAACTCCAAGAATCGTGGAAGCTGCCTGGCAGCTTTTGGAAGACCACGTTCCTTTTGGGGAAGTCCATGATTGTTGCAGGGAGGGTTCACGCCCGCGGAGACTTCTGTAGGCACAGGTGACGCCAAACGCATGGTCAGCTTCCTCTGATTGGTGGTTTGGATTGCTTTGGTGGTGAAGGGCTGGTTTCCTATTCAGCGTCCCCAATTCCATTTGTATAGTCTTCCCCATAAAAGGGAAAATGAAGCCAAAATGGAATTCCAGAGGTCACCCCCCTCCCCCAATTCTGTTTTTAAGGGAGTGGGGATTCAGGAAGCTGAGTTGCAAAGCCTTGTTGTTGTTTGTTGCTGTTTGCTGTTGTTTGCATTTTTATTTGTTTGTTAAACAACATGTTGCAACATGTTGTTTGTTGTTGTTTGATGTTGTTTGTCATGGTAGGAAAAGGCCCCTCGACTCGCCCGCGCCTTCGATTCTGGACTCGTCTGCGCCTGGGCCAGCGGAAATCTGACAAGTTGATGGCATCTGGCAACGAAACCGTCGCCTTCCGGACTGGCACTTACCCCTTAAAACTCCAAGCCCTTGGGAAGTTAATCTTTTACAGACATATAGCCCATGTTACCCAAAAAGTTGAAAAGTTGTGTCTTTAAGAGGTAAGGGCATCATTGGCTGCAGCCAGGTAGGGTCAGAAGCGAGTCGTAAGGCGTGACGAGGAATGCTGAGAGGTGCAAAACCTCGCTGTGAAGTTTCAAAAATGGCTCTGCCTTTCTGTAGGGACCCCCCATGCCCACATGGGTGCCTGGAGTCTCCACGACCCTTGAAAAATTGGGGTCGTTACGCGAAACAATGGGCTCATGGACCTATTCTTCAACTGTCATGGAGACTCCAGGTGTACACAGGTGTACAAAGACGCCTGAATGAAGTGGCCCAGGTCTTCTTTTACACACTAGTGACGTCCAAATGGGACAAGTCTTGGTTTTATTGCTACGTGCTTGTGGACGTCAAGGTGCTGTGGATGCTCTAACACACACGAAAAGAAAATGTTTGCGGCAATTGCTTCCATTTGCTCAAGCCCATGGGCAAAAAACAGACACACTTCCGGTAGAGATAGATTCCCTTCATTAACAAAACAACAACGTTGCAGCGCATGGAAGTTTTGTCTCTTCGCGGCATCCAGTCGACTCGGCGACGTGTCTCGCATCGCTCGGCAGTGATCCAAAGACGTCGTCAAACCGCCCGCCTCGCCACTCGCTGAGAGCTACCGCGCCAGAGTTCCGCAGGTTGAAACGCCTAGGTGCGGTGCGCGGTGCGCGGGGGGGGAGGATGCCGGCAGTTGCTTCACATCTGGGCAAATGGTCCTCCAGATTTGAGAGGTGAGAATAAGGTGTTCAACTTTTTCAGTTTTGTCTATTTTAGTAGGGGAACCCTCCCAACCAAAGAAGGGGTGAGAAAGGGCACCTAGCTGGGGGACCTAGGGGCAGTTGAAGCAGGCTATCAAGCAGACTGTCGCCGTTGCGGGCCGCTGCCACCTGTTTGACCGTTCCAATTTGTTTGCGGGTCACATTGGTAATTACCAAAACAGAACCCTGGCAAATGGAAGCTGAGGCCGCGACGCATCCTTCACTCGCCTCTCCTGTCAAAGGGCAAAGACCACCCAACACTCCTGACCACCCGCCCGCTGTGAACGCCTGTCAACTGACACCCAACAACTGCAACGACTCGACCGAGTGAAGCAGTCTCCAACCTTGAGTGGGAGTTGTATGTAGCACCTCCCAAACCAATGGGTCCAATGACGTATTCGCAGCTGTTTGCCGTTCCTGCCTGGAGCACCCTTCGTTACCTAAATTTCTGCCCTTAGCCCAAACGTATTGCAAAACCAGGGGTCGTCACCAAAATATGGTAAACGTACACTTTCTCCTGCTTCGAGCGGTTTTCCCAAAACCGGGCTGGTCGGTCCTCCAAGATGATCTTTCGTTGAATTTTCGAAAGGAGCGAGCAGAAATCAAAGTGCAAAACGAGCGCAAATATCCGCAAAACGAGCGCAAATATCCGCAAACGAGTGCAAATTTAAAAACTGTAACAATGCCCGCCTTCCTCTGGATGGAAGAAGGGGATTTGGTCGAGCGTTTTTCGGGGGGCGCCCTAGAAATGTGGTTCTGAGCTTTCCAACAAACAAATGTATCGGTGTTTGTGCCCAAGGAAGGCTCACTTCCTTTTGCACCTGAGGCACCCAACGTGCCTTTTTTTTTAGGTACGAGAAAAGCAACGCTCGAATTTCCGATTTCAACGCCATCTAAATGGAAGTTTCTTGTTGACAAGAGGAACCAAAAAGGACACCTACTGTGGAGAAACAAAATTCATTTCGCACCACCTAAGAAACCCTGGAATGCGTTGATTCCCCTGTAAATACCAACGGAAAATGGCTTCCCATGGTTTCAAAGTAGTGCAGAATTTTGTCCATCCACAGTCATTCCAGGTCCTCCAGTAGAGACTGTTAGAATAAGGCTACCCTTTTTTTTCTGTAGTCTATTGTAGCAGGGGAACCCTCCCGAACAAAAAAAGGGGTTAAAAAGGGCACTACTGGGGGACCTAGGTATGACAAGAGTGGTTTAGACATGTTTCCTCACCAGGGGGGCGTTTCCCCCCGCGGAAGGGCCTCCTCGCGCAGGGCGATGTCATGACGCAGCTTCAGCAGCTCATCCTGGCGCAGGGGGCGAGTGCTCGAGCGGCTTCAGCCGAAGTTCCCGGAAAGCGACGGGTGAAACAGGACCCCGAGCTCCGACCCTTCCATTTGCTTCCGCCCCCTGGAAAACATGAAAATATTTCCAGTAGTGATTGATTCCTTTTTCAAACCAATAGGGGAAAATACAACATGTTCTTAAACAAACGGAAGGACCAAAGAACTTGGGCAGAGAAGTTCTCATCTGTGTCAGGGCCACAAAAGGATGTAACAAAGAAAAAGTCCTCCTGATAAGAGCCGATATTCGGTATTCTTCCCTAGCTAGGTCCTCCAGTAGAGAGGTTAGAATAAGGGTACCCTTTTTTCTGTAGTCTATATTTGGTAGGGGACCCTCCCACAAAAAAGAAACGGTAAAAGGGCACCTAGCTGGGGGACCTAGTTCCCGATATGAGAAGTGAAAACCCCTCAGGAAATCGGAAATGAAGAGACCAATGGGACGTCACCCTCCCCAAAAAGCCGAGATTCAATATCTTTCCCGACATGAGAAAGAAAAACCACTGAAATGAAGACCTAGAGTCTCCATGACCCTTTAAAAATGGGTCAACTTTGGGTAATGAGCCCCATTTTTTCAGGGTCATGGAAACTCCAGGGAGACCAAGGCGACGTCGTTTCGCCCCCGTTTTGCCCTCGCTGCGCCGCCTCTTGCTCCCGCACGCGGCCTTGCACCGCGCGCGCCTCGACTTCGCGCGATCGAAGTTCCAGCGAGCGAAGTCGAAATTCGAGGGCTGCCCGAAAAACCCGGGGGAAGGGTGTGAACTGGATACCCACAGGGTACCTGGAGTCTCCATGGCCCTTTAAAAATGGGGTCATTACCCAAAATTAAGGGGGTATGACCCCTTTTTCTAGGGGTCATGGAGACTCTAGGTACCAAAAGGGTAGGTGTGAACTGGATATCACAAGGGTATCCCAAAAAAGCCGAAATAAATTGGAATTCAGCTTGTGAGGGACCGACAAAAACACACTTGTGACTTTACGAGCAAAGGTCTTATGGTATATATCTAGCCCCTGCATTCTGAATGAATTTTGGATCCATCCAAACTTCGCCAAACCCTGGTGGGCTCCAAAAAATAGCGGAAACCAAACAACTGGAATATATGGAGATGTATGCAATCACCAATATTTTTTGAGGATGTTCCCCATGCAACATTATAGCCAGCCTTGAGCCAAATTAAGGGTTGAATGCTTCTTGTCGTTTTGGTTGATGTTTTTTTGTTGTCTATTTTTGTTTTGGGCTGGGGGGGGGGGGACGTGTGTGTTTCCCATAAACAGTCTAAACGGACCACTCTGACTCTCTCCACGGTTTCATGTTGCAAGTGGAACCCTTGCAAATCGATGGCTCACATTTCGGACCCAAAAAAACAATGCTCTAGGTTTTGTTGGCGCCCCGTAGGGAAGGGGTTGCACCCTTTTGTTCAGTCAATTCCCGGCATTTTGTGTGAAGTTCACCCGTGGCAACATGCGCGAAAAGCTCCTGGTATCCCACATTCTTCAGCAGCCTTTTGGTTTTCTTTGCCGGCCCAGTCAACCTGATCACAAAGAACGGGGGGTGAGGCCTGGAAAACAAGACATGATGCAGAGAAGTGGTTGCTTAGTCGCCTAGCGCGCTTCCCCCCAACCGCCCCAACACGCGGAGCCTGGCTGAGCTCTTGACGGAGATCATGGATCTCCTGCGCTCAGTGCCGAGTCGCGGGGTTTACACCCCGCCCACCAGGGGCATTGTACGTCAGGCAAGTAGGTAATAGACATGGTGAGAAAAAACACAAAAACCATGGTTATAAGTCCAGGTGACGGTGGGTTATAACCAGGCTTATTATCCACTTACTGAGTACAACGCCTTTTTACGCAATTCATATAATGCTCCCAGCTATAAGCTCATTGCTCTGATGTTCATTGTTGTCATTGTTGTTATCATTGCTGTTGCCATCATTCCTAGTCTTTTTGGTAGTTGCCATTGTCATAATCATTATGATTTTTAATGTTCATGTTGTGAAGGCCTACGTACTTGTTTCAATGCGATGCCTCAAAAAGCGCACCGTGGTTTGCAAGATGCAACCATAGCCCTTAGGAAACCTACCAATGTCAAGTCCATATGTCCCCACTTGTTCTGCGGCCAAAAGCGTTTGCTGGTTGATTGTTCACGTCTTGGTGGGGTGCGAGGACAGAGCCGGGACATTTTGTCTGAAACCAGGCTGACACCCTTGCTTGGCATCTGTTGCAACGGCGTGTGTCAAGCAAAAAAACACGCAAGAAGACACATGTCATATTATGAAATAGCCAAGAAAAACTGAACATGTCAAGTTAAAACAACAATGCAGTAATTGTGAACTTGGTGACAAGAAATACGTCATTCCTTCCGCGGCAGCTGCGAGAATATCGAAAACACAAGATCATTGGACACGTCACAGCTGACTTGAGCATAGTTCAAGGTCTCCCGAAACAGCTCCTCCAAATCATACAACCATGGCATGATTCCAACTGGGACATCTTAAGTGTAGGCTGGCATTGGGGGGGCTGTCAAAGACTTGTTACGCCTGGAATTAGTTAAAGGACCAGGATTCCTAGAAGTTTAGGGGTTATTTTAACTTTACTATGAATCGCTATAATCAAACTGAAGAGTGTGAACCCCAAGTTTGAGAAGTACGTGAAAAAGTTGAATCTGAGCTCCAATTCCAAGTGCAAATGCAATTACTTTGGAGAACTCATAAGCAACAAATGTCAACCCATTGAAAACAATAAACATGTAGGATGAATGGCTTGAAATTGGAAACTCAGCATCCCTGCGCAGGACTTTCCCGTGCAATTTCCCACAAGCTGTCCGCTCTTGCGAGTAAAACGGAAATTCTGGCAACACCTAAACTGTGACCACGTCCGGCCTGTCATGCCAGGCTGCCTGCTCCTCTTGCAGTTTTGGCAAATTGGGGGGTTCACCGGACAGGCTTTTCCTTACTCAGCATTGCGGCCATGGCCGCGAAATGGGAGGAAGAAGCCTGGCCCCGGCCATCCCGACGGCCAAAATGTTGCTAGTAAGGGGCACAAGTGCAAGTGCAAGGAGGGGCTGGGCGATATGAAAAAAGCTGGTCTTTGGCAAAGAAATTCCTTGTGTTGCGCGCAACCATCAGGAAGCCCTTGCTGGAAGCCAAAGCCATGGCGCCAAAAGCGCCGCAAAAGGCCCGGGCTCACTGCTGCGCTGATATTTGTCGCGGACGTCGCCGATGTTTACACGCTGGGCGTGACAGTCGGTCAAGCCAACCTGTTCCCTAGCAGAGGTGGAGGTGGCCCGGCCATGGTTGGAGAAAGCCGCCGCGATTTGCCCAAGCGCAAGGTTCTGCTCCGAACGCGGGCGCGCGAAACAAAAAACCACGCTCCAGCCCTGGACGAAGGTGAAGCCCTTCGAGAAATCTGTTGCCTCTTCTCAGGAACCCAGAAAACGGTTTGGATATGGCTGTTGCGGATCCGCCCCCGAAGCAAGTGACAAGATTTAAACAAGCTGCTAGAAAAGGACCAGCAGGGGGGAGACCAAGTGAAATCCACAAAAAAACGCATACAAATTATTTTCTAGAGAGATGATTGGATATTTTGTTAACGATCCTCTGTCCTAACTTAGCCATGCCGTTCGCAAGCGGATAGCCACGTCCCTGCGCAGCAAGTGCGAATCGCGAGGGCCAATGGTGCAAAACGGGTGCGCGCGCCAATTGCAACCGCAAAGGCACATACGAGTTCCCTTGGCGTCTTGGTGTTCGATATCTTGGTATTACCTTTGGCAGCAAACAAATTGGTTCAACACCAAACGCTCTTGAAGTGCGATACTTCGACACTCATGAGCTTGAGGTATTGAAAAGCCTTCGATGCCCAATATATATATATATATACGCCCAATATATATATATATATCTTAAACAATATGTTTTTTACGTATATATATATATATATGTATATAAAAGTAAGCTCAGGTGATATCCCCAACAACATGCGGTGCTCTTTTTAGTGCTCGCACCACCCCGCAGCCCTCGTAGAACCTCGTGGAACTCTCGTGGAACCCTGGTGGAACCCTGGTGGAACCCTCGTGCAGGGCCGCCCCAGACCACCCCGGAGCCTATCTGGGCTGAGACCCCAAAGCTTTCATCTGTTGGGGGAAAAAAAAACGGGAGGAGAAAAAACACACACGCCGTGGAGAAACAAACGTGGCTATAAAAAAGCGCGGCCAAAAGGAAAACTCCACGACTCTGTTGCACTTGACGTTGGAAGGGGAGCGAAAAATTAAGCAGTTCAGTGGTTGGATTTCAACCACTAAACCACAACAAGCAAAAATGTATTTTTTCCCCAACGACAACCATGGATCTTTCCCAAGCGTTAACTGGAAACCATGAGGGATCCCCACACCTACTGTGGATGGCTGCGAATTTCAAACCAGCCAAGAAACCCTACAATGATTTGATTCCCCTGAAAAAATACCAACAAACAATGGTTTCCCATGGTTTCAAAGTGGTGCATGATTTCGTGCATTCACACCTATTCTACGTGCCAACCTTACTCACCGAAGAAACCAAGAGAGTTGTTAACCGGGCCGGACGAACAAAACTGGGTGGAATCTCTCTCCGTAACTTCCCCACGGCTCGAGTGTGAGTTTGATGCTCTGCTACCAGAATGCAGACACACCTGATCTCCACTGATTGGTGGTTTGGAATGGTGGTTTGGATCCCCAAACCACCACTAACTAGGTCCTCCAGTGGAGAGGTTAGAATAAGGCTACCCATGGCTACCCTTTTTCCCGTACTAGTTTTTGCTAGGCGAACCCTCCCAACCAAACAAGTTGGTAAAAGGGCACTGCTGGGGTACCTAGACCAATCCAAACCACCAACTCAGAGTTGCCTGACGATCAGCAACCCTTTGTCCTTCTCCTGCTCTTGCCGCCTCAGTCGAATCAAGCTGGGCAAGTGGCCAAGGGTTGCTACAACCCATGTTTAAGTCGGATTCTTGGGGGTGCAGGTAGGCATAAAGAAAGACGACCACAGCCGAAGCATCTGTCTGAGGGTTTTTGTATCCTGGGATTACACCCTTCACAAATGGCCAAACATGCCCCAAAATAGCACGATTCTATCCCGGAAGGGGTCATTTGGCTGTGGGTCAAAACCAATGGTACCATTTTGGGGTAGGTGCACCACCCATTTTAGTCTATTTTCGTGGGGATTGGGATGTTCACTGGGGGTGCGGGATTTTGACCCATGGCCATTTGCCAGTGGGCGCAATCCCAGGGCGTAACAACTACAAAACAGCCCTTGGAAAGTGGACACTGATCTCGGGATCTAAATGAGATAACTTGCTCAGCAAGGAATGACCCCCCAAAAAAACAATTCCCTATACTTTACTAGGTCCTCCAGTAGAGAAGTTAGAATAAGGGTACCATTTTTGCTGTAGTTTTTTTTAGTAGGGGAACCCTCCCAACCAAACAAGTTGGTAAAAGGGCACTACTGGGGGACCTAGTTTACTTTAAGGGAATCTGTAGGTTTGAAGCTGGGCTGTCCGTTCTCTGATCCCCTGCTAAAAGTTGAAAACTTGTGGGTCAAATGGACAACACTGCACATAGGTGTCCTCTTTGGCAAAAAAGCTATTCCGGGTAGGTGATTGCACCCGCATCCAAACCAAATCAACCAACAAGGACACCTATGCCACTGTGGAAATTCCGCCCGTTTAAAACGGCATCGAAAGAAAAAACAACTCCAAAACTTCCATTTGCGTAATACCCCCTGAAAAAAGAATCCAGTAGTGATCGATTCCTGTTAAAACCAACAGGGGAAAATAAAACATATGCTTAAACAAATGGGGCAAAAGTCATTTCTTCGGATTCGCCGGTGGGCGGTGATCCCAAGGCGACAAAAAGGGGCAGGAAGAGCCTATTTCTGACTCACTCCAAACCGGGCTATCCAAAGTGATTCCAAAAGAACGACCTCTCCATCAGGTGTCATTTGGTATCCCTCTCGGGTTATCATTGTTCTGCATGTTTTGCAATGTCAAATCCTGCTAAAAGTTCAACCTGTGGGTGAATGGACACCCCACCACTAAACCCTAAAAACAACTAAAATTGAGACTGCTGGGAAGCGCCAAAACCAAGGCGGACTTGAAAAGAACAAAAGTGAAACAAGCGAATCTTGCTGTAGACTGTCGCCCTAAAAGTCCCTGTTGTCCACCAGGCGGAAAAAAGGGCGCAGCTTGACGTTGGGCCTATCCCCTTGCGCTCTTTTGCCATCCCCCTACCTTAAAGGGAGAAAAAAAAATGGAGATCTCCGCAGTTTCAATTCCCTGCTCCAATTCTACTTTCAACTCAACCCCCCCCCCTCAGCCCCCCCCCAGCACCCCCCACCCCCCACCCCCCCCCCAAAACCCCCTACCCCCCAAACCCCTCCCCAAACCTCCCACCCCATGGCTCCGCCGCGGCGCAAGCGCCGCTGCTGCTCCGCGCCGGCGCGGTGCAGCGCCTCCCATCCGTTGCTCTGGGGTCAGATGTTGCTCGCTGTTCGGCTCGTGAACACTTCCCGGTTTTGCAGCAAAACACCTGGAGGTGCAAACCAGGCGATTCCCTTTAGAACCAATAAGGGCACATGTTGAAAGTATTCGTTTCAGCAAATGGACACATGGTGTGGGCTTTTTAGGGTCCTCATGTCTGTAAATTAACGCTTCCTTATTCTTTCCAGGGATCTGAATCTTTTCAAGACATGAAACACCCAGGGGAAACAAATCCGGTTTTGGAGCAAAAAACGATGGTTGAAAAGAATGGACAAGGAATCAACCTCTAGAGTGCTAGGTTCCCTTAAAACCAAGCGGGGAACAACAGCGAACATTTGAGTCAATCAAAACCCGGTATTGAATTCCCCAGTCTACCCAGAACCATGTAAAGAATCAAGAAGGCGGATATCCGCAGCTATTTATGGTTGGCATTTTCCCAAAATCTTCAGCTACCCGAATCGGCTTTGAGCAAGTGGCTCAGATCTACCTAGATGCTCCATGACCCCAGTCTACCTATATCTTGTTGTTGGGGTATAAATGTTTATTAAAATCCTATTAAACCTTGATAAACTCATAATAACACCTTATTGAAGATTTATTCAAAGAAAGCACCACTACGTAGATTCTCGTCATAACCCCTGAATTGTGGGTAATGACCCCATTTATAAAGGCTCATGGAGACTCCAGTCTATGGTCATGGTTGCCGGTTCCCTGACTGGGAATCAGTCTGATTAAGGATCCTTACCATGCGGATGACCATCCCAGCGTTAACCCCAAGTAAAGGAACCGGTCCTTTGACAATGGCACATACCGCGGATTGGTGCAACATCCGACTTCAGGCACCACTTGGAAACCAAGGTTGAAACCAATGGTTTTTGGTTTCTGCATTGGGGAAGCACCATTTTGAAACCATGGGAATGACACTACAACGTTGGGTGGTAATTACGTTGGGGAAGCGAATCAGAAACCAGGGTTTCTGAATGGTAGAGCGAAATGAATTTCATCCACAGTAGGGAAATGGTCCCTTTGAAAGGAAAATGGTCGAAACAAACCCCCGAAACGTCTGGTTCCATGTCAATTGGTGGGAGGGAAATCATACCGGATCCGCTCTGGATAACGCATTGCTACGGAAGGGGGCATGGTTGTAGGAAAATGCAGGAAATCTGCGATGCCTTTCTTGATTCCCATGACTTACTTCATCACTTTGGGGAACTTTTTGGCACAGAGAGTCCCTACGCCTTTTTGTTAATTTCACAACCATGCTCCCACCCCTGGAGCGCTAGTTGACCAATGAAAGCACCGGATTCAAACTCAAACTAGGTCCTCCAGTAGAGAAGTTAGAGTACGGGTACCCTTTTTTGTCTGTAGTCTATTTTACTAGGGGAACCCTCCCAACCAAACAAGTTGGTAAAAGGGCACTACTGGGGGCTACCTTTTTTTTCTGTAACCCTCCCAACCAAAAAAAGAAACGGTCAAAGGAAAACCTAGCTGAGGGACCTGGCAAAGGTCGATGCCTGCCTCGTCCCAAAGGGCATAAGTTGGGGTTTGCCCATTTGTCTACCTGCAGTCTCCATGACCCGAACCAAACATAGGTCCATGACCCACCATTATTTAGGGTAATGACCAACCATTTTTAAAGGGTCAGCAGACTCTAGGTATGGACTGAACATCGCATCCAAAAGCGATTAGTTCTCTTACAGATCCCCAGTTGCAACGAGTGACTCGAAATCTAGACAAACATGTGGAACCGTTACTGGACTGCCCTCAGATCCCCTGCTAAAAGTTTAACTTTTAGTGGGTCAAATGAAAACCCCTGCTAAACACTAAACGCCTACAAAGCTAAGGGAATGGCTGGAAGCCACCAGGGTTAGTGAGCATAGGCTAGGTGGCCTTTTGGAAAAATAATTAGATGGCACTGGTACGTAAAAAGAACCAAAGGGGAACCCGTGCCATCTATTTTCAAACAAACAAGCCAAAACTTGATGGTGCGCAGTAGGGAATGAGGGAATCACGCCTATAAACTATCCCCTATTGTTTCCGTCAGGGGAATGCCCAGGTGCATTCCCTCATTCCCGCCACACTGACAGCAGCAAGTAGTGAGGTATATTCCATGCTTCGCGAACTCCCTCGGATGGGATTCCACAAAATACAGTTGGCCTTTGATTCCTGCCCCGGTAGTTGCTGAATGCCGTCTCTCCGGCAAATCCCATGGACTATGAACTATCTGTGTCAATCGAAGGCCAAGCACATCATGGATGAATCTGGTTCCCTGCCCGTCACAAAACCAGTGCTGAATTCCATGTGCCTGGAGTCTCCATGACCCGAAATAAAAATAGGTCCATGAACCCAAAATTTAGGGTAGTGACCCAATTTTTGAAGGGTCATGGAGACTCTAGGTGCTTGATCTTCTGAAAGTGCCCAGCTCGATTTCCTGTTGAACGTTCCCCGCTCCAAAGATGTTAGGGCCATGACACATGAAGCCACTCCGAAGACAAAGGACAAAAGCTTGACTCACTTTGAAGAGCACCTCAGCCTCAAGGTAACATCTCCAACAAGCTACCTAGAGTCTCCATGACCCTTTAAAAATGGGTCCACGACCCCATTGGGGTAATTACCGAATTGTTCAAGCGTCATGGAGACTCTAGTAGCGTGCCAGCCGCGCGCAAGGACGTTGAACTGCGCGCGCCGTCTTCTTTTTTTCTTGGGTCGCCGTCAGATGATGCGCAGAGAGTCATCGGACAGCTCGATCCAACGCACTTCCTCGGGTCTAGCGGTCGCAGCACAAAACACCGAGAGACTTGGGTGTGTCTCCCTAGAGTCTCCATGACCCTTAAAAAAAGGGGTCACTACCCCAAATATTGGGTTCATGGACCTATTTTTTATTTCGGGTCATGGAGACTCCAGGTCGTTTTGTTTCCCTCTTTTGGGCGGGCCCAAATAAGACCCCCCCCAACTCAATTCAGCTTTTGCCTGACTGCTTGGACTTTTGCTTTAGAGAATGGGGCTCAAATCCTCACATAACCAATGCCACGCGAAAGGGCCAGGATCACCGGGGAAGCGCGACAAGAACTCAGCCATGGCTTTGCACGCAGAAAATGGGCCTAGTTATGATGCTTGGGGCCAAGAAAAGTGGTTGGGAGTCGAAACGAGCCGAGAATTCTCCTCGTCTCACAGAAACCCAGATAAGGGACCCTCACGTCCATCAATTTTCCACTTTGACGAAAGCTTCATGCTTTCTAAGGAGCCCTTTTGGGCAAACCCGAAGGCCTGGCAAAGCCCCAGGATGAAGTGCAGCATACCAGCTACAACTCAGGGCTACCTGAGCATACCCCGCCAGCAAACCACTGCAGTCTTGAGTCTACCATGCAACAGCAAAGAAGAAAAAACACTTCATCAACAGCAAACATATTCCGCTATGCCAAAAAACACAACGCGAGACGCGACTCTGTGCAGGTGACTGCCAGCGGCCACAATGGACTCGGTGGCAGTGATATGTTTTTTTTTCTGTAATCTATGTTTGGATGGGGGTGGGGGGGGGCCGGGGGGGGGGGGGGGGCGGCCAGAAAAAGTCACCAAACTTGTTTGCCACTCAAATGGTCTTCCCGAAAAAAGCTTAAAGTCCATGAACTCTTGAAGTGAGGAAAGCCTGCAAAGTGAAGTACTTGATGATTTCAAAAACTGGAGCCAAAGAAGGAAACAAGGCTGGCGACTGCAGTGGATAGTGAAACTAAGGCAAAAGGGCCCAGGGGGTGTTTGTATTCCACTCTGAAACCTTGCTCCGTTCAAGCTGGAAACCCCTTTTGGAGGCCTTGAAACTGCGATACTTCATCATTTCAAACAGGCAAATAGGGTGTGTGTGTGTGTGTGTTTTTTGAGAGTTCCTTTGAAGGAAAACCAACAGCAAGCCAGCCATTTTGAGGAATGCGCATAGGTTAATGACAAGCCCAGTTACCTGACCCCAGTGATTCGAAATTGGGAAAACACGTTGGACGGTTCATCCCATTTCGAGTTGGTCCCGAACCCGCCAAACCTCCAACCCTTTTGAGTTAATCTTACGAAGAAATCGGATTATTTCAAGCAGATGATAATGGGGGGTTGTAATCTGTGAAAAAGGAGCGACTTAGCCAACGGTCAACCGGACATAGATCTTTTCCCTCGTCATTTTGCCAAAAAACATATGTAGCCTAGTGATACCGTTTGCCTGTGTAGTCCACCAATGGAGCCCCTTCAAACCCAGAACCAAAAAACTGGCTGGCTGCCAATGAAAACTGGGATCTGGGTATGTCACACGAGTCATACTCAAAACCTGGTACTGACATGGACCCAGAACCATGTGGGTATGGGTCAAAATTAAACAACCAGGGGACCGCAAATGTTAGTCTATGTTTCCACTTGCCGGGGTTCCATGTTGGGTACCTATTCCTGACCCACAGCCATGTAAAGAAGCAAAAGACCTCAAAAAGGCACCCACTGGTTGTGATTCTCCCTTAAGCTCACCTTCATCTACCCAAATCGGTTTCGGGGCCCTGGCGTCACACGCGAAACCGAGACACCAACAACACGGGGGATCTTATGGTAGGGAATCTCGAATTTCCCTTTGCTAACCTTTGTTTATTCGGGTTTTGAGGACGTGGCTCACACGAAACGAGACGCCGGGATCTTCCTTGACGTGGCGAGACACGCGACATCCGCGACACCCAAAACGCGGGGCAAGGGATCTCTCTCCGCTTCTCTCAGCTGGGCCGCGCAGTTCTCCATGCGCCGGCCCGTGAGGATGCTGAAGAAGCCATTGTGCCCCACCACCGCCAGCTTCTCCTGAGCGCCGATTCGCGGCAAAGCCGAGGATTTTTTGATTTTCTTTGTGAGCATGTGGGGGGAAGCGACGGGAGGGGAAGTGCTTAGTTAGCATGTTGGGTGAAAGTGGACGGCGCAAGGTTTTTTCTCCATCTTCGTCAACTCTTAAGTTTTTTTG